CTGTTACGTTGACGTGTAAAATGGCGGTACAGCTCGTTTATCTTAACTGTCACGCCCGACCTATAGCCGCAGGTTCCTATTGCTGCGGTTTTAATAGGGACATGATTCACCCACAGCTAATGACACAAACATAATTTAAGGTGATGCCATCAACATTCCCTGGGGGTGTGACACTGGAACTGTAGGCACTGCTCTGTCTGAGGCTCTCTTAGGCTATAATCTGAGTTTTAATGTATCACAATCTGACCAGAAAGAACAGATTTAGCTGGAATTTGTGACTTGTGCTGTTAAACAAGTCTCTAATACAGAAAATTACAGTCACAAACCAGCTTCCATTAGCCAAGAGTTTCTCATTCAGTCACTCTCACCTTTTTGGTGAAAATTAAACAGCACCCTGAATTGGTATTTTTTCTTGAGCTTTCGGGCTTTTTTTGGTTGTGTTTGTTAACGTCTGCATTGTGTCACCATGGTAACGGCAGAACATTCCACCATTGGCATACATGCAGAACCCCCCCAGTAGGGCTGGGTATCATTAAGAAGTTGCCGATACAATACATACCTCAAGACATAGGCCACGATATAATACATCTCGATACAGTGCACTTTTGATTCGATAGGATAAATTTCAAATTGATTCGATATGGTTCAGTAAAAAATTAATTATGGCTGTGATACTAAAAGTCTTTGTTAAACCACTTCTTGTACAAAGTTAATATGAAACACAAACACTTTAATCATCAAAACAGTGAAAATGTCATATTTTGTCACATAAACGAGTTTCCTTCCTCCAAACGAACAACAAAAATGTAGCGCAGTAATAAAATAATTTAGTAAAATATACCAAAAAATACTCTGGAAAATACTCTAATAAATCGATACAGCAGCCCACAATATCGATACTATATCACATTAAACGATACGATATATCAATATTTTTTTTTTACACCTCCTACCCCCCAGCATGTTGTCACTTCAAAGTCTCAGTAGCTCCATGTCAGTCTGTATGTGACCAAATCGCAGTAAACTTAATAAATTGTGTTCTTTCTGTGTGTCTCATTGTTCCTCTTTTTTTCTTTCCCTCCTCCTCAGATGAGTTTGCGTTCTTAAACATGTCCCTCTGCTCTGGTTAAGTCGTCCCTCTGCTCTGGTGTGGTGGGTCACAGTTTGGCTCAGCTCCAGCCTCTAAATGAGACTCAGGCTCCGGTGGTTAATGGTCTTATTTACACCGCTGTGATTCTTCGACTCTGACGGGTCCAAACGTGTCCGAACGTCCTTCAGCTGAGGGCACTGTGCAGCCTGCTTACTCCTAATTATCACTCAGCACTAGGGATGCGACCATTTTTTCTGAGACTCATTATGTATCGAAATCAAACCGATATTGTGACCCATGTATCGAGATTCGTATCAAATCGTGAGAAAACTGTATCGTTGCATCCCCAATGTTTTTTAGAGCATTTAAAAGTTTATATTTTTGTCATTCCTGGGTCTAACAACGTGAAATAAAAAGTCACTGAAAGATAAAACTCACTCCTGTTAGAATATTTCAGCTGGAAGCCTCTGTTTATTTAGAAAATTTTACAATCCAGCCCTCAAAGGTGAGCAATTTTGGTAATTAATCGCTGTTCTGCTCCTCTACGTGTAGCGTTTCAGGACATTAAAGGTAAGCACAGTGTGTACAGGTGCACCCCACCCTGAACCCTGCAGGTGTCACCGATTCACAGCATCTGGGGAGAACGCCACGTTTTAACTAATATTTCTAAATTTCTGAGTAAATGGCCCAAAAAGGCTTTAAGATGAAATATTTTAACAGACATGGGGCATTTTATTTGTCACTCACTTTTCTCTTCTATGTCCTGCACACATCCAAACATAATAACTTTTAGTATTGCTCTGACTAAGACTAAACCATTCTCATAACACCATGGTCTCATTTCAGCCATTTTGCTCTCTTACACTGAACGTTTTCTTCCAGAATGAGCCTTGGAGATGTTGCTAAAACAGTAGAATTAAAAACGATGCTAATCTGACCTTAAACAAACGCAGCAGAGCACGCAGAGCTCCATGACTGTGTGGGATCAGAGACGTTGTATTTTTAGATAATGAAGCAGCTTCAACAAAAGGCCTCAAGAGAAACACCAACACTTTTACATCTTGTGCTGCAGAGAAATACTAATGAACACACTGGTTTTCAATGGGAGGAATAGAGAAATACTAAACTGATCAGATCCAAAGTTATTACCTAATGTAATGTTGGATTTTTGCACTTTGCTACTAACACACATTTATTTAGTGATTCGCATTTCCACTTAAGTGGGAAAATGTATTAATTATTACACAACGGAGTGTAGAGTGAGAGTAGAGAGCGTACACCAGTGGCGGTGAAAATGGACATTGATCTGCAAAATGGCGTCTTGAAAATAAGCGATTAAAGGCACACACTATTTATTAATTTTTTATTTTTATTTATTTATTTTGCATATATAACATGACAATAAAAAGAAACAGACTACATAAAAAGTAGGTGCCAGAAGAGGCAAAAAACCCAACACTACTTTCTGATCTATGTCTGTTTTCTCATCACAAAAATACCTGGAGTTGTGTTTTGTTTCATTTATGGGTTTGACACTCAATCCTACATGTTTACACTGAGTTCTCTCAAACTAAAAAATTCCACTGGGAACACAGTAAGTGCTCCACTGTGTTTTTAAACTACATACACTTTCACCAGAATCTGAAATTTGGATCATTTCAGCACAGTAATAGTCAGTCTTTACTGAGCAAAAGATAAATGTTAACATGAAAATGACAGCTTCATGACGTCACAAGGTGGAACAGGACATTTTGAGCTTTGGAGATACAGACATGTTAATAATAAAGGAGTGAAAAACATGTAAATACGTGTGAATGAAACAAAACACAACTCCAGATGTGTTTTTGGGGAGGTAACAGCATTATAACATGTCTTAAAGTCCTATATTTCACAAAATTGACTCTTGTGAGCTTTAACGATTTCTGAAACATGCATGAATCACTCCAAATACAACTTCAGGTGGTAACTTTAACTTTGGTTAAAAGCTCTGAAGTAAATTTTGCATATTAGGTCTGCTTTAATGCGGCCTTGTAATCTGCATAGAATCATTATAGAACAAATGTTGCACTTTCCTGAATAAAGTTAATAACTTCTGAATTTGTTTAGCACATCTACAAAAAATCTGCATTTTGTCTTTGCTTGAGCTCTGTCGTTAAAGGTGCATTGTGTAACTTTTTGGTTGGGGGTCCGTCACCTGCTTGTTTCCATGGAAATGTCATTGCTGTGCCTGGAATTTTCCACAGTATGACATTAAACAGCTCTTCCTTTCATTTATTCAATTACATGTGGTTTTAAAGCTCAAAAAAATACTGCACCAATAGTACACAAAAGTAATTCTTTGGCAACAATTATGTCATTTTTTCAGAACTAGTAGAGATCGTTGATGACCCCTCTACAGAAAATTCTTAGTGCCTTGTTCAGTTTTGACGCAATTTCTTGTATATGTTGACTTATAACGGCTAGGGGTGTGCAAAAATATTAAAATATCGATATATCATGGTGCGAAATTTATCATGGGCTGCTTCATCACTATATCACCAAGAGTATTTATTATTTTGTGACTGCACTACCATTTTGTTGCTGATTTAGTGGAAGGACATGACATATTCACTGTTATGATGGTTAAAGTGGACGTGTTTCATATAAACTTTGATGAAATTTATTTAGTTCTTAAAAAAAACAGCAACGTATCACAGTGTATCATGTGCAAATGATAATATCGAATCGTGTGGGGCCTTATGATTCCCAGCCCTAATAATAGCTTCTTCTCGGTCCCTCTCTTTTGATCAGTCTACAAACTCATAGTGACTTGTGGTCCCAGATGATGTGACCCTGCCCTGGCCCGGCCTCTCTGCTCGGTGCTCTCAGTGCTGTCAGTGCTGCTGGTGAATGGCACTGCCCTACATAGCGTTGTGATGAAGACTGAAGCTCTTGAGACCGTCCTCACATATCAGCTATGTTTGGATCCAGCAGACTCTCACTGCGCCCTATTTCTCAAGAACAGGGGCTTTGGAGGCAGTCATTGACCTCATACTCCTTATTATTGTTGATTTGCTGAATATTTTAGGATGGTAATTACCCTGTGTTCTCTTTGGCTCTTTGAAAGTTATCTCATACTTCAAGAAGGCCTCTATTTGATCATAATAATCCAGGGAATAAAAAGTGGCTCATAATTCACAATACAAGGCTTTCAATTAAAATAATGATATCGCAATCAGGATATAATGCAGGTGATTTTCAGTATTTGAAACCAAAAGTTGCAAATACATGACCTTTTTATGATGTGTTAGTGAAGAACTTCCACAAACCTTTTCATAACAGAGAATAGATTTTTGAGAGTTTGTCACGGATCATAGTTTAACTGAATTTGTTTTTACATTGCCCAGTAACACGCGGCTGAGGCCTACAGCTGTTGGGATGGGCTAATGTGTTAATATGATTCAGAACATGCACATTATGATTGTGTATCAGTATTTAAACAGGGTTTTATGCATCTATGCATGTTTCAGTATTTTAGCAATCTCTCCCGAGCCCTGTTCAAACCCTCCTTACTGTTAGCTGTTGGATTCTGTGCAATACTCCGCCCACAAGCGTCATCCAAGCTCGCACACAACAATTCTCCATAGATACACAAAAACATGATACAAAACTGAACACAGCAACTGGACAACCTGATGCAATGTGCAGTAGTTTCATTATCGCGGATGAACGCTGATTGTGTTGTGATGGCGCTCTGAAGGGGGAGTAATTTGTTTTTGTCAAATATAGTATTTTCAAAACAGTAAAAGGTACATGATGATGATTTAAATATGTAATATGTTAGCAGTAAATATCTTGTTAAATTTAAATACCCCCATCTGAATATGAATGCAGCGCTCTTACCTTTGGTCTCTCTCTTGATGTGTTGCAGTATGGACGGTCGGACAGTTACCGCGTGGCCACCACGCAGGACAAGGATGAGAAGGAGTCGCCCAAGAAGAAAGGAGGCAAGGACCTGGACGACCTCAAGAAGGAAGTGCCCATTGTACGTATGCTAACAGTCTGCACTGCACTGTCTGCCACATGCTCTGTTTTTCTCCATATTTATCTAAACAGTTTTTATACCAGAAGAGGATTGAAAATGGTTAGTTTGTCTAAAGGTTTAGTCCTAAAATATATTAGCTTAAAATGATGTCTGAGGACATCTGTTAGAAATGCTTCTCTCTTTCTACCTGTGTGGATATATGGAGTTAAACTGTATCATAAACACAACAAATGTTCTACAAAGATACAGCTTCTGCATTCATCTTTTTGATTTTCTTTGTTAAACACATGAAAAGTTGTTCCCCAAAACGATTTTTGCTATTATTTATTTAACAAGGTACAACGCTTGTGCCTTTAGTGAGTTGATCCAAAGCCCACAGGTCCCTGTCCAGAGTTCAGAGATGAGCTGTCCCAGTGTAACTGTACGGGACATTGGGTGAGCACAGATCAGAGTCTGATCTGAGCAGCTGCCGCGGGTATGACTCACTTTCACTTTATCTGAGTTTTTAATCCTAATACAAAGGCGGTTTTACTCCTGTCTGCCAAACACAACTTTTTTATGGTTTAATATTTATATGCAGTATGTGAATATACATGACATAACAAACAAACATAATTGCTCGATTACCCATGGGTGTCATAATGAAAAAAATGTAGGATTGTTGCTTTAGACACTTACACCCTTGACTCATGTTTAATTTAGATGATCAAACATCAACATTTTCTTTTTCAGTTGGCTTTTCTGTAAGATACTGGACCTGAAGTTCTCACTTGTAAAGAATATCGGTCATGATTGACACAGACATTCATAAAAGACTCCTTCACGTACAAATGAACAAATGAAAGGTGAAGCCAGTCCCAGTCATATTAATGTATACCACATGTTTATTTCAAGATATTTGTTATTTATCTCACATGTCAAAGAGGAGGTTTAATGGTCATTTGATATCTACCAGACGCACAGAAGTTCAGAAATCTAAAACATTAACTCAGATGCCACTTTTGCACATTAATTATTTTCTAAAATAAGACATGAAAAAGTTTTACGGACTCAGCATTGTCTTTAAACGAGGCTCTGGTCTCACGTGAATGTGGTCGATGGATTGGTACCAGATGACACACTCTGGATTATTCATAATTTACGATTTTTGCGAGCTCATGCTAAGCTCTCGGAATAGTAAAAATACAGGAGACTGGTTCTAAAATCTTCCAGGACCAGCCAAGTTGCTACGTGGACGACAGTATTGGCATTGAAAACAGTTTACTAATTATGTGTTTATGATTATTGAGATCTGTGAAGAGTCAGTATTAGTGATCACTCATTAAACAGTTGTAGTTTCATATCATACTCCCTACAACTGTACAGCAACTCACCTTTTTGTAACAGATAATACTCCCTACAACTGTACAACAACTCACCCTTTTGTAACAGATAATACTCCCTACAACTGTACAACAACTCACCTTTTTGTAACAGATAATACTCCCTACAACTGTACAACAATTCACCCTTTTGTAACAGATAATACTCCCTACAACTGTACAACAACTCACCCTTTTGTAACAGATAATACTCCCTACAACTGTACAACAACTCACCCTTTTGTAACAGATAATACTCCCTACAACTGTACAACAACTCACCCTTTTGTAACAGATAATACTCCCTACAACTGTACAACAAATCACCCTTTTGTAACAGATAATACTCCCTACAACTGTACAACAACTCACCCTTTTGTAACAGATAATACTCCCTACAACTGTACAACAAATCACCCTTTTGTAACAGATAATACTCCCTACAACTGTACAACAAACTCACCCTTTTGTAACAGATAATACTCCCTACAACTGTACAACAACTCACCCTTTTGTAACAGATAATACTCCCTACAACTGTACAACAACTCACCCTTTTGTAACAGATAATACTCCCTACAACTGTACAACAATTCACCCTTTTGTAACAGATAATACTCCCTACAACTGTACAACAACTCACCCTTTTGTAACAGATAATACTCCCTACAACTGTACAACAAATCACCCTTTTGTAACAGATAATACTCCTTACAACTGTACAACAATTCACCCTTTTGTAACAGATAATACTCCCTACAACTGTACAACAACTCACCCTTTTGTAACAGATAATACTCCCTACAACTGTACAACAACTCACCCTTTTGTAACAGATAATACTCCCTACAACTGTACAACAAATCACCCTTTTGTAACAGATAATACTCCCTACAACTGTACAACAACTCACCCTTTTGTAACAGATAATACTCCCTACAACTGTACAACAACTCACCCTTTTGTAACAGATAATACTCCCTACAACTGTACAACAACTCACCCTTTTGTAACAGATAATACTCCCTACAACTGTACAACAACTCACCCTTTTGTAACAGATAATACTCCCTACAACTGTACAACAACTCACCCTTTTGTAACAGATAATACTCCCTACAACTGTACAACAAATCACCCTTTTGTAACAGATAATACTCCCTACAACTGTACAACAATTCACCCTTTTGTAACAGATAATACTCCCTACAACTGTACACCAACTCACCCTTTTGTAACAGATAATACTCCCTACAACTGTACAACAATTCACCCTTTTGTAACAGATAATACTCCCTACAACTGTACAACAAATCACCCTTTTGTAACAGATAATACTCCCTACAACTGTACAACAACTCACCCTTTTGTAACAGATAATACTCCCTACAACTGTACAACAAATCACCCTTTTGTAACAGATAATACTCCCTACAACTGTACAACAACTCACCCTTTTGTAACAGATAATACTCCCTACAACTGTACAACAACTCACCCTTTTGTAACAGATAATACTCCCTACAACTGTACAACAACTCTTATGTAACCTCTTATATTTATATATTTGTATTATTATACTTCTATTTTTTAGTTTTACTTGTACATACATATTTTATAATTTACCTTATTTGACTGCTACTTATTTTGGGTTTAACGTTACCTTTTACATTTTTGCTCTTTGTTATAATATTATATTGTGATGCGTGAGCTACTGTGTCTAGATAATTTCCCTTGTGGATCAGTAAAGTTTGTCTAAATCTTAATCCAGGCTTTGACATAAGATAAGAAATAATCGCTCTTCTTTTCCTCAGACGGAACATAAAATGTCTGTTGAGGAGGTTTGCCGGAAGTACAACACTGACATCGTCCAGGTAAGTAACAACAAAACCTCATATTTACCTCTACGTCTGCCTCTTCTGGTCCTAATCGTGTGTTTTTTATGTGTTTTGTGTACAGGGTTTGACCAATGCCCGGGCAGCAGAGTACCTGGCGCGGGACGGCCCCAACGCCCTGACCCCGCCCCCCACCACCCCGGAGTGGGTCAAGTTTTGTCGCCAGCTCTTCGGGGGTTTCTCCATTTTGCTGTGGATCGGAGCCATTCTCTGTTTCCTGGCCTACGCTATCCAGGCTGCTACAGAAGATGAGCCAGCCGGGGACAACGTGAGTCGGACACACTCTGGTCCAATCAATCAAATCAATCACAGTGTATTTATAGAGCGCTTTGTAACAGCACAGAGAGGACCAGTGCTTTAGAGGAGGCAGGAATATCTAATACTAATAATAATACATTTTATTTAAAGACGTTTTAAAGAACATATTAAAACAGTCAAAAGAGCAATAAACAAATAATACAGGAAAGATTAAAACCGTGAATCACGTCTAACACTCAAATACTCAAATATAAACAGTGGAAGAAGTGAATAAGTCGGGCATTGTACTTTTCCCTGTCACCAAGTAACAGGGAGAGTGCAGAGAATGGTTTGGTGTTTATATATTTATTATTTATATTGGTGTTTATATATATATAGATCCAAGAAAAACAGTATCCTGCTTCTTTCTATGGATATGTCTTTACTCAGCCTGGATTTTTCCACAGTATGAAATGAAACAGCTCTTCTTTATGTACATTTATTCAATTACAGGTGGTTTTATAGCTCAAAAATACCTAGAAACACAGGCATTCTGACGGTGAACGGAGTCGCCTCTCCACAGATCTGAGCTGTAGCTTCTGGTTTGGTCTCCGTGAAGATAAAAAGGTTTAATACCATACTGTGAAACATTTTACTCTCAAGATCAAGTACAAAATATTCTCATGAGCCACTCTGATTTCAGGCATAATATTACATTATCTGCACTTTGTACTACGTGAAGCATTACTTTAAAGGTGCACTACGTAACTTTTTGGTTGGAGGGTCCATCATCTGCTTGTTTCCATGGAGATGTCACTGCTCTGCCTGGAATGTTCCACAGTATGAAATAATACAACTCTGCTTTACATTTATTCAATTACTGGTTATTTTGTTGCTCAAAAATAAAAGGTTTAATGCCATACTGTGAAACATTCCAGACAGAGCAAGTTACACAATGCACCTTTAACTATTATAAATAACTTACAGTTTAATCTAAAAAAAAAAAAAGTGATTAAATTATACTTTTTCAGTTTGGTGGTTAATTCGCTGTCGGTGTTTCCCATAGATTTTGTTAAGATTATAGTGGCACAAATCATTTTCATTTGAATAATTTAATCTTTTAAGATTTGTGGAGTATAAATGTCTGCTAATCACTGCTAATATTTAATTTTTAAGCAGTAATTTTTAACCAGTGTAGTCTCTGTTATACGTTTATGATAATACAATGAGCAACAAAGTTTTAATTTTGTTATTCCGCTATAGTCCAGGTTGTGTTTAGACTATGGGGAAGAATTTTGTATTGAGTATTGGGGCCACCATAGTCTCCTATTTTAATGGGGGAGTGCCAGGACATATACAGACACGTTATAGCACAAAACTGGATTGCTAAAAAGCCCGATTATTGATTATTGTTATCGTAATAATACCATAAATGACAGAAATATAGATTTTTGCACACCCACTACATAAATATCTGATACTTTTATAAACTACAGAGTTGTAAAATAGCTTTTAGTCGTTTTCGCATTTTATTTTTGGGCTGCTGCCTGAAGATGGAGCCATAATTATTTATACGTCTGATTCAGCGCAGAACAGAAATAAGGAAGAGGTGTAATTTACTCCGTGTGTGATTCAGTCCTTCTAGTCACACATGTTTTTTTCTTCAATTATTTATATGAAGTACATATAGAGTAGTATATAAAAAGCAGCACATAATATATTTAGTAGTTGTAGTAGTAGTGCACATTTAATTTCTTAGTTTATCCGAACAAAAATGACCTTATATTCTCGGATAATCTTCTGCTGCTGGTTCTGTCCCAGAAGTCATTGTCTGAGTCATATTCCAGTGTTATGACTCCATTGAGAAGGTTGTGACAGCTGTTTGACTCCCGTTTGACTGTCCCCCTCTAGAGTGACACATACCATCCAGTCGGCAGGCGTCCATCTCGCTCAGGGCACTGACTGACTCCAGAGTGAGAGAGGTGTGGTAGAGGTCAACCGTCTGCTTGGTCAGATTTGCACAGAAACGCAAATATAGAAGATATAAAAGGCATTCATATTATTATTAACAAGAAGTGAATTTCAGAATATATCTTGAAGTCTAAAGTACAGTTTTAGACAATTTTAAGACCCAATAGAGACAGAGGTTTAGACATATTGTACGGCCTGTCACAATAATTAGTAAATTAACTTTTTGTTTAATACATGACAGATGGAACAGTACTTTTTGGAATTTAATGTTCAGGGTTCCCACTATCAGGGAAATTCTGGAAAAGTCATGGAAATTGAATGTAATTTTCCAGACCTGGAAAAGTCATGGAATTTTAGTATCTCTTTCACGCAGCTACAACGTTCTGTTAAGTTCTCATTAGGCTATCATGATCATATGCGCCTTTTGTTTGAAAGAGACGAGAATAAATGCACTGACGGTATTTTGAATGTTAAAAATCTATAATACCAAACCATAAGGTGAGTGGAAAGGGTTCACATTTCATATTTAGCCTTAAAAGTCTGATCAGTTCTACATATTTAGGTGCCGTAAAGTCAAGGAAAATTCACTTTAGGTCATGAAAAAGTCATGGAAAATTTTGAAATTTTGTCACTGAAAAAGAGTGGGAACCCTGATCTTGATTGGTTTTTCCTTGCCCTAGTGAGAAACTTTTCATTATTTTTCTGTACTACAATGAGATTTGAGCTGTAGAAGGTTTAATGATGAACTTCTGTGGCTCATTATAGATACAAACTTAACTATTTAAGTGTTTCATTCTAATATTATTCATTGCAGTTCATGTATTTTAACAATATTGTGCATTTAAAATAATTTTTTTGGGTAAATGGGCACATTTTATATAGAGCTTTTCCACCTTCAAGGCACTCAGAGCGCTTTACAACATGGAACCACTCACACATTCATACACCAGAGTACACAGACACTGGGGATGAGGTAGGTTAAGTGTCTTGCCCAGGGACACAACGACAGCATTCATCTGTGGGAGCTGGAAGCACACCAGCCAACCTGAGGGTCAGTGGATTTCACCGTGTTCAAACAATGATCATGTCGAGAGCAGGATTCAAACCGTCAACATTTGGATCAGTGGACAAACGCTCTACTAACTGAGCTACTGATGCCCTAATAATTAATTAGGTAATTGCGTAATTCGGCTTTAATATTACTGTTTATCATCTATATTTACTTCGGCAATATATAGCACTTCAAAATGTGTTATCATGATATTGTAAACTACTACTAACTAAACAAAACAATAAACAATAAAAAGTTGCAATATTTGTCAGTCATAGTGTTAGTGCTATCTGAATCACATGCAGTATTTGTTTATGTGTTTTTATTACAAATCTGCCATGACGTAATGACCTGTTTTTATGAATGACTGTTTTACACACAACAGGCTGTAGAGCAGAAGGGAGGTCAGGGGTTTAACTGCTGCTGTCAGACTGTCAGCTATAGGGCAGAGTGTTGTCACGACACTAAAATTTCACACTCGATTTTGATCTGAAAGAATAGACTCAAAACTCAATAACAGTACCACTGTGATCATAAAAACACTTTCTTTGCCCTGTGAATGAGTATCAAGTTTCTATTCTGGTTTTAGTATCGATTAGTCTCTGATTTTTGATACTTTTAACTGTGCACAAACATCACATCGGCCTTACGCTTTTGTTGTGGTTTCATGGCATCTGTAAACGGAGGATTAATCACACGCAACACCACATCAAACTCAGACAGAAACTGAGCGGACAGAAAACAGATGGACGGCTTTTAGGTCACGGAGTCCACATCCAAAACACACGACGCAAACACACTGATACGAAAATCACAACCGTGCCTATTTCTGTCTTTACAAAGGTCCTGAAATAGCTCCTCAAAGTCTAGAGTTTCACGTCAATATGTCCGCCGCATCAAGCTCCTCTTTCATGATGCACTTTTAGATCACAGACACCGTTAAAATGAACTGATGTATTGGATTTTACATGATTTGCTTGTCTCTCTCCCGCACAGTTGTATCTGGGAATCGTGCTGTCCGCCGTGGTCATCATCACCGGGTGCTTCTCATATTTCCAGGAGGCAAAGAGCTCCAAGATCATGGAGTCCTTCAAGAACATGGTCCCACAGGTAACGCAAGACCACAGGGTTTACATGCTGACAAACAGGGCTTAGAATGAAAAGTGGTTTAGGTGGTATCACAGTCATACCTGTTTATGTTGTAGTGGACAAGATTCTCTGAGTCATAGTATTTAGAGAGGCCAGTGGCACAGGATTGCAGCCACATCTCTCTCTTTCAGTCCCAGAGGATGGATAATAAAATGTAATACCACTATAAAATAAATTTCTGTGACTATTATTATAAAATAATTGTTTTATTAATTTATAAATTTATTTGATTTTCCTCACATTAGAAATAAAATCTAAAAACGAATTAGAGTAATAGTTGTAGTTAAATTTCCATTGGTATCGACCTAAAATTTCCTTAGGTGCAACCCTTAATTGTATACGTATATATCGCATACAAATGTTGTATCATCCTGCTTACTAAGATCAAGCTTGTATAGAGCAAACAGAAGGCAATGTAAGACTTAAGATGATAAAAAGCAAATATAAACTCAATGATAATCTCTCACCAAACGCTGACTTGGTCTTGTGATAAACCACTGCATTTCCAGATATTGCAGCATATGTTGAGCTGATGTGCATCGCTAAACAAAGTTAATGCTCTAGCAACATCTGTTTCCTGTTTATCCATGCAAAGCACCTGCTTATGAAGATATTATATTTCCAGTGCATAATACATCTAGTAGTTTTGTGTTTACACTTTAACCGCATCTTACAGAGCCCCAAACTTGGAATTACTAAATGTCTTTTTGTGAATCTCTGAATTCTGCCTTATATAATTACGAGTATAATTCAAATACTATTTAAATTTAATTTATTAAACATTTGAGTGACATCAGTGTTTCACCCGGAGCGTTGTCTGGAGCATGGAAACAGAACTGCTGGAGGGAGCCGCACCAAACAGACCCTCTCCAGGGCAGCCCCAAGTGAACTGTGCTAATAGAAAAGAGGCTCATGTCTGAGTATATTGGCGATCTCTCTCAGACCCTTTTCAAACCCTCCTTAAGTTTCGCTGTAAGATTCTGTGCAGTGCTCAGCCCACAGGCTTATATCACCCATGCTCCCGCACAACAATTCTCCATAAATAAAACAAACAATATATTGACCGTACGATATAAGAGTTCCAGATTGTGTGGGGGCAGAGATGGAGAAAGCTTGATCTCCCGTTGATGATCTTTAGTTGAAGCTTTGTCTCTGCAGAGGACTTTAGTAACCAAAGCTCTTTGATCTGACAGCAAGCTCTGGTGATCCGTGAGGGGGAGAAGATGCAGATAAACGCTGAGCAGGTGGTGGCTGGGGACCTGGTGGAGGTGAAGGGTGGAGACAGGATCCCTGCTGACCTGCGCATCATCTCCTCACACGGCTGCAAGGTAAAAACTGATGCAGAATACAAAACACACTGTACAGCTTCATACAAAATACAACTCCACACTGTACAACGCACTATATATGTACACAGCCCTGATACCAAAACCTATTTCAACCTCTTCTTACAATAATAGAGGTTTCTGTTGTTTTCTGCAGGTGGACAACTCCTCCCTGACCGGCGAATCAGAGCCTCAGACCAGGTCACCTGACTGTACCCATGACAACCCCCTGGAGACCCGTAACATCGCCTTCTTCTCCACCAACTGCGTCGAAGGTTAGAGCACCGTCTTCACATGTATTTATGAGCACTGGGTACGTTTACATGGCCAGGAAAAAATCAGATAACCAGAATGATCAGATAACCCAATAATTAGATCTGGTTTTTGGTGTGTGTTTACATGCGTGAATAGAAATCTGATCATCAAACCTCCTGGGTGCATTTGTCATGTAATGTATAGGATTTTATGAGTAATTGGTGTGTTTTGGAGACAAAGTGTGATTAATTTAAAAATAACAATCAAATGTATAACATTTTCTCTTTCATTTTTGCCTGCGCCATATTAGTTTGCCATTTTTATGCATAATTTTCTTTGTTAAAACCTACAATGGCACGAATAACGAGAAAGAAATCAGTTTACATTACATTTCAACTGCAGGAATTGATACTCTGCGTGTATCTCTATGGAGAAATGTTCAGCAGTACCATGGTGGCACAATGTACACATTAGAAAATACTGCCAAAGATTTTATGGATTTATAACGGATTTAAAAAACACATTGACATTATTGTGTGTAAAATATAGCACATAATATTAAACCGTGTCGTTCACAGATCGACTCTTTAAGTGGACTTTGTGTGTTGGCTGCTATAGTTTGTGGACAGTGTTTGTTTTGTCACAGTTCAGTTCACAGAAACCTTTTACAGCAGGTCACGTTAATGTCAGGGAGACATCGTCATGGAAACTCAAAGAAAGGGTGCCCTCTAGTGGTGGCTAATGATACAACACATAGAATGAATGAAGCTTTATGGCAGGCCCTTTTTTATCTGACAAAATTTGTTAATACACTTGACAACCCTGCCTGTGTGACCCAAAGTCTGATCTTTTTTGTTGTTGTTTTTAAGTAATTACAAGGCTCTAATCCAGAACAATACAGTATTACTTGAATCAACATCCCACTTTGATTAAACTAGTGATGAGGGAGCACTGTTATTACATGGTTAAAAGCTCATTAAAGTATATTTACAGGGCAGCCGCGGGGTCTTAAAAAGGTCTTAAATTTCGTGTTCCTAAATTAAGGCCTTAAAAAGTCTTAAATTATGTTGTCTAAATCTTTTTTTTTTTTTCACAAAGTTCTTAAATTTCATTAGACTATTTTTTTTTATCATGTAACGGGAATGAACATCTAATTTGGTATCTGATGACGGCGGCAATGAGTAAAGAATCAGCAGAGTGGAGGAAGATGTTGGATGGATTGTGGGGAAGTGTTGGTTTAATCTACAGTGGCTCTTAGACTCTAGATCAGAGGTGCCCAATACATCGATCGTCGATTTCCAAGGTGGTGTGGGTACATCGCAGTGTTGTAGTATTCATCTCGGACTCGATCGCGTTTGGACAGCACAAAATCCCGCTGCAAAACCAGTAAGAGAATGTAACTCCAGTTAGAAAATTGAAAAAAACAGGTTTTAAAAATCCTAAACACTTAATTCACTTTTTTCACAGTTTTGTGTAAAGTGCCAGTGGAAGTTCTCTTAAAGAAGAGATTCTCAAACTGTGGGTGAGGGTCCAAAAAAAAGGCACAGAGTGTTTAAGTGCAGTGCAGTTTTCTTGGGTTTGTAGTAGGTCGATCATTTTGACTTGGTCATTTTATAAGTAGCTCACATGCTGAAAAAGTGTGGGCACCTCTGTTATAGATGTAGTAGTTGGTTGGTCATTATTAGAATTGTTTTTCGCTCACATAAATGGTGCAATGTTGGTCTTAATTTTCATTTAAGTGGTCTTAAAAAGGTCTTTAAAAAGTCTTAAATTTCTGGTCAAACCTGGGGATACCCTGATTTAGCGTAATATGTCTATATCCCCTTTAAACTTTGTTGTTATTTGTGTTCAGGAACAGCCCGTGGTATCGTGGTGTGCACCGGTGACCGCACAGTGATGGGACGCATTGCCACTTTAACCTCAGGACTGGAGACTGGCAAGGTACAACTATTGTGTTACTTAAATTATTTTACCTGAGAAAAATTTACACCTAAGATGGATTCACTAAACTGTAGCTTTGTTCATTTTTTATCAAATTACTGGATAGATAGTCAGGAGGTTCTTTTTTGTTTTTTTGTTTTTTTTTTTTTTTGTTTCCTGATTGGATAATCTGCTTGGTAACTAAAGCATAACATGTAAACAACTTTAAATCTTGTCATCTTGTAATTGTGAACACATTAAAAATGTAAGAGTCAAAATCTGAGCATGTCTACTTCATATCTGAGGACACTTTCATCTTTAGAAAATATTTAAACATATCCTAAATCTCTAAAATTATATACTACTACTGAATAAATGCGTACAACGTTACTATTGTTTTTTTCAGACTAAAGATGGAAGTAACTGCTTAACCTTTCTTATTGTCCACAGACGCCCATTGCGAAGGAGATTGAGCACTTCATCCACATCATCACAGGCGTAGCTGTGTTCCTGGGCGTGACTTTCTTCGTGCTGTCCCTGATTCTGGGCTACTCTTGGCTGGAGGCGGTGATCTTCCTCATCGGCATCATCGTCGCCAACGTACCGGAGGGCCTGCTCGCCACTGTCACTGTGAGTACTACACTGCAGGCTCAACTCGAGGAAACTTGTGGGTTTATTTGTAGAGAGGAAGTTTAGTTTTATTTATAGAGACAGAATCACTCTCGGTAACTGGGGTTTTAATTTGAGGCACAACAATGGTGCAGTAGGCTGGGTTCATGTGTTATCCTGCATTATCATAACTTTAAAGAGGCATTTTGAACCTTGAATGCAACCTTTTATAGAAAATGAAATCAGTTAATCTTTTTACACAATGATTTATCAGTGAATTCATCATCAGTAAATCTTATCGTACTCCAAAAGTTAAACTATTTAGCTGCCACCACTTCTGATGTCTGTTTTGCTATGTTACAGAGAGTTTAAGACATTTTTTTATTGTGTCCTCAGTGGATAAATTCTTATTATTGACAGAATTGTAGTAGTTTGCATGGAAAAATTGTCAAACTTGTCATAGATAAGACACTGATAATTGAGCTGCCAAATGTTTTAACTGATTAAAGACATAAAAGTGGCCTGAAGCTGCTCTCTACAGTCACTAAATGCCATGAGTGAAAATATCTACAGGCAGGTCGATATGAATTGGTTATAAATAAGTTAGTGAGCCTGTCTGCCTCAGAAGCCTAAAGCAAGACTGAAAATAGGACACTATATAATATGATTTTGAAACATACATATTTAATTACTTTTCTTTTTCTTAATTAATCAAAGTAATATGTTATCTATGAGTAAAAGAATTAGAAATGGGTAGCGTGTATTTAAAGCCGAAAATTGACTTTTCAGAGCTTTTAATTATTTTATAGTTGTTTCCTGTCACCGTTTACTCACTCGAAGTTATATTTGGAGTGATTTATGCATGTTTGAGCAATTTTTAATCACTTACCTGTATAAACCTACTTACTACGTACTTACTCCGTTTCTCAATTTTATTTTTTTTTTAATCTGTGACACACTTAGGATTCGTGACAAACACTAAATGTCTTATTTAAAGCTGCACTGTGTAACTTTTCTGGTGGAGAGTACGCCATCTGTTTGTCTCCATGGAGATGTTGTTGCTTTGTCTTGAATGTCCCGGTTCGTCATTGAACTTATCCAACTTGCATCAACTCAGTAACTTTTTTTCTACTTAAAACTTACATTCTTACTTTGCGTGGGCTCGCCTCTCCACAGACCTGACACGTAACTTGGCCCTATATAGCGTTACTTGATGTCTGTGTAGAGATAAATAACTATAATGCCATACTGAATAAATAGCAGGCTGGAAAAGTTACACAGTGCACCTTTAACATCCTGAGTTAGAGCCAGTTTGGTGACACTAAAACTAATTGTAGATTCACTTTGATATTTTAAATGACTAATAATCTTACATGTCACTCAAGTTTTTCAATATACTGAAGTGAGTAATTCATAGCTAAATTTGTCCGACTTACTCAAATGTTTGTAGACGTTTGTATCGTAAATTATCTGTTGTCTATTTAATTGTGTTTAATTCTGTGTTGTGTCGTGAAGTGATGTGGCTGATCCGGTGGCTCCTCTCTCTCCTCTGTGGCCTCGTGTTTTGTGAATCTTTGTGCCTTTACATTTGTGCTGTGATAGTGATGTTTGTGTTTGACCCTCTCCTCCTCTCTTCCTTCTCCTCCTATGTCTCTCTCTCTCTCTCTCCATTTATGTCTTTCTCTTCCAGGCCAGTCAGTTTACGGCGCTCTCTGCCTTCACAACGACTGGCTAAATGTAATAACTATAGGATATAAGCATAAGATTATAAAGTTGTAACTGAATTGGATCTCCTCTGCTTGAAAACAACCCGCTTCTTTTGTTTTTGGCCCCTGGCTCTTGCCGTACTTTCAGCATGAATCCTAATGCACTGTTGCACTGCATCACTGCTCTCTGCATTTGCTCTTTGGACTGTGCTTCTAACATTGAAACGCATTTGGATGAAACAACGTGAACATCTCCAGATCTCCATTTTTTAACACTACACTTACTCACGCCTTAAAGAGGGGGTATTATGCAAAGTACGTTTTTGTTTTAGCTTTCTACCATGTTATAATGTTGTTTCCGCATCAAAAACATGCCCGGAGACCTTTTAGAGCTCAGCAATGCATGTTTGAGCAATTTAGCGATCTCTCCCGCAGCCCACGAGCAGTGTTTCCCGCAGAAAATTGGTTAGTCAAGGTGGTGAGGTGCAGGTGCTTTTCTTTGCACAAAATAGCCTGATATTTTTTATATTTTCCCATCCATTATTGTACACTTAAAAAAAAACACATGTAAACCATAGCTGTGATAAGAACCTAAAGTATAGCCTTCAAATGCTAAGTTTAGATGAATAATAATAATGAATAGGGGTGTAACAATAACCAAAATATTGTGATATTTTTATAATATCGTCAAAAGTCTGTCAATAATATCGTGGGCCATCACAATATATCGGATCACAAGTTTCTTTGCTTAAATTCATTGTTATGGTGCAGCAATAGCTAAAAAAATAGAAGGAACTACATCGACCATGATCCTTTGCTCCATTTCAGTGCAGACTACATGAAAAAATATCAGTTCTAAGCACTTCTAAATCTTAGTTCTTTGGATTAAGTCTTGTCAAGGCATTTTAAGAGGGAAAAGAAGCATATTCACAATTTTTTTTAGCTTACACAAAATATCGCAATAAATATCGTACCGTGAGATGCATATCGTGAAAATATCCTACTGTGAGATTTGGATATTGTTACATCCCAAATAATGAACTGTCTTACTTTAATGCATTCTTCCCACAACGACGACAGGTATGCTTTACAGATATCCAGATAATTAGCTTCTCTCTTGATTAAAAAAATAATAATGTTGGTCGTGTAGCACATCAGATGATAGATGGAGCAGTAACATATTTAACCAACAGATGGCGCTATTCAGCCTCATCCCAGTGCGGCCTCACTGTCCATGCATGCGGGGCTGCAGTGTTTTTTTTTTTTGTTTTTTTTTTTCTTGGAGGGACATAATCAAGGAGGGGGGCAACCATCGTCAAGGCGGCCGCCCTAACTATAAAGCGCTGCGGGAAACACTGCCACAAGCCGACGGCGCCCATGCTCCCACACCACAGTTCTCCATAAATACACAAAAACACGGTGATTGCTCTGTGGCGGCGCTCTGAAGGGGGAGTGACTTAACGTGAGGAGCAAGGGGAGGGGAGACTCAGATCATCAAAAGTAAAGTTTAAAATTATATAGCATTTTGAAAGTAATAAAAAGATAAGCATGATAATCTAAATATGCTTTGTTTTAGCAGTTAATACCCCATAGAAGTAAAATACCTCCTCTTTAATAAAGCACGAACAAAGACTTTCATAATGAACAAATAGTTTATTAAGAATGTTCAAGCTTAGTAATTACTTAGTTATTTGTTCATTGTGAGTCTTTGTTCATGCTTTATTAAGGCTAATTAATGAGTAGTTATTATTGTGTAAATATTGTACCTGATTTTTCATTATATTTTTTCAAATCTTCTGTGAGTAAAGCAGCCTGGAGGTGATCATGTCTGTTTCACAATGAATCAATACTAATTCCCCTCTGTCAGGTACGTCTTTTTACCCATTGTTTTGCCCGTCCTTTTCGCAGGTGTCTGACTCTGACCGCGAAGCGAATGGCGCGCAAGAACTGCCTGGTGAAGAACCTGGAGGCTGTGGAGACCCTGGGCTCCACCTCCACCATCTGCTCCGACAAGACGGGCACCCTGACCCAGAACCGAATGACTGTGGCTCACATGTGGTTCGACAATCAGATCCACGAGGCCGACACCACCGAGGACCAGTCTGGTGAGGGGGCGCTGTCTGTGGCATTCTGCATACATAATTTTATTTCAGAACTTAAAAATTATCCAAGAATTCTCTGGTAGAAATTTGCCACATTTACATGAGAGCTAAAATAATTTAATTCTGAATACAAATTCCTTGTTATGTTGATATTTGAAATAAAAATTTTCTAATAAACTGCTATGATTACTTATCCTGAATACTGACTTATCCCGTATTATGTTCCAGGTTGCTCCTTTGACAAGAGCTCCACGACCTGGGTGTCTCTGGCCCGTATCGCCACTCTGTGTAACCGCGCTGTGTTTAAGGCCGGACAGGAGGCTCTGCCCATCCTGAAGAGGGAGGTGGCCGGAGACGCCTCCGAGTCCGCTCTGCTCAAATGTATCGAACTGTCCTGTGGAGCGGTGAAGGCCATGAGGGACAAGAACAAGAAGGTGGCAGAGATCCCCTTCAACTCCACCAACAAGTACCAGGTCAGTCAGTTTAACAAGAGTGTCTGGAGAAACAGTATCTGTCAAGTTGTCTCTAAGGAACATCTAACATCAACTGCAATTGACTTAGGAATGATAGACAAGACAAGTTTATTTGTACAGCACAATTTGTACATTAAATAATTCAACAAAATTTACAAAACAAATTTACAAAACAAATCAAAACATAAATAACCAACATAAAAGAGAAGAGTGCGGAATAAAAATCCTTCAGTCATGTGCACAGCTAAATGGAAATAATACTAATATATTTTATTCATTAGGTGCCTTTGTGGACACTCAAGGTCGTCTTACAACAAACAAATACAAAAGCATAAACAAAGTTAAATACATGTTATTAGGTTCTTTTTTCAGACCAGGAGTTTTGTTTCATACCTGACAGTTTAGGCTGCTCACTAGCGGGAAACAAAACTCTTAATAACATAAAATATCTGAAGACCAAATGAATCTCATTGGACTGAAAGTTAAATACAAATAAATACAATCTGAACATGTATGTTTCTCTGGTTTAAAAATGCCATTAATTGTCATATAATTAGGATTTTAGTTTCATAGATATTAAAGGTGCACTGGGGAGCTTATCTGGTTGAGGGTCCACTACCTGGTTGTTTCCATGGACACTGAATGTGATTGCTTTGCCTGGATTGTTTCAGTATAAAAGTAAGATGTTAAAATGACCGATCTTGCATTTATTTAATTAGATGTGTTTTATGGCTCAAAAATTACGTTGAAAATCAGGTATTCTCACTGTGAGCAGGGTCGACTCTCCACAGATCTGAACTGTAATTTCACCTGATAACGTCACCTGATTGTTTCTGGGGAGACAGAAAGTTTGACATAGAGTCAAGCTTTAGTTGCAGATCCTCCACTAGAAAAGTTACACTGCAAAAAACAAAATCTAGTCAAATTAAGAAAATTTTATCACAATTTAAATAAATTTCACTTGACAAGTAAAATTATCTGCCAGTGGAATAAGACTTTTTGATCTTAAAATATGCTTAAAATATGAAAATACATCTTGCTACACTTTTTACAACAACTTTTTGCACTTAAAATAAGATATATAAGATAAGATCAAATATTGCTTGAATTAAGAAAAACACTCTTATTCCATGGGTAGATAATTCAGATAAAGTAAAATGTGCTTAATTTAAGTCATTTAACGTATCTAATCATAAGTTAAGATTTGTCTGTTTTTGATGTAATTTTTTTAATGAACTCATTTCCTCTATCTAATCTCTGATCCCTGCAGCTCTCCATCCACGAGACAGAGGATGAGAACGACAACCGTTACCTGCTGGTCATGAAGGGGGCGCCAGAGAGGATCCTGGATCGCTGCACCACCATCATGGTCCAGGGCAAAGAGCAGCCAATGGACGACGAATTGAAGGAGGCTTTCCAGAACGCCTACTTGGAGCTGGGGGGTCTGGGAGAGAGGGTGCTGGGTGAGAGACCTAATATACACCTAGACCTAATACAGACATTTGGGAAGCAAGACTAGGGATACAGGAACTGAAATCGACTTTTTTAACTTCATGTCGGCTCGTTTGATCAGTTCTAAGTAGGCCAGTCATGATTAATGCTATATTCACTTGTCGTTCAGTATATAAAAGATGGAACAGTGTTTATATTTTGGGAGGGTCAATATTTATCGTGTGTACTTTTGTCTTTGCACTACTGGGAATTTTTTTGTAATTTTTTGGCTATATGATGAGATTTAAGCCAAAAAAAGGTTGAATACTTAACTTCTTTGACTTGTTACAGATGCAAATTAAATACTAAAGTGTTTCATTCTGCTATTTATTTACTGCCGCTCATGATTTTTAACAATATTGTAAATTTAGAATAGTTTTTGTGGTTTAAATCTGCTCTTGGGTTTTTGTGTCAGTGGCAATTTACACAGTGCACCTTTTAACTTCTTATACTACAGATATAACACTAGTGACGGTCCATCCTTTTTTCTTCTTTCTTCCAGGTTTCTGCCACCTGTTCATGCCCGAGGACAAGTACCCCAAAGGTTTCGCGTTCGACACAGACGATGTGAATTTCCAGACGGACGGGCTTTGCTTCGTGGGGCTCATGTCCATGATCGACCCGCCCAGAGCCGCTGTGCCTGACGCTGTGGGCAAGTGCCGCTCGGCTGGAATCAAGGTACAATCTCCTGTTTAGAACATACGTTGAGATTTACAATTAACATCTGCTCTTGATTTTAATTAAAGGGCCCATATAATGTTATAATGTTGGTTCCTCATCACAAACATACCTGGAGTTGTGTTTTGTCTCATTCACACTTGTTTAACACGCAAACCTTAATTTAAGAGTCACTAGAATCATAATTTCAGACCTGGAATTGCCAATCTTTACTGAACTAAAAGTAGAAGGTAGCTGTTAACTTGAAAACTACCGCTTTATGACACTACAAGGTGGAACAGAGTGTTTTTTAGCTTTGGAGATGTAGACAGACTGATAATAAAGGATTGCTCAAACATGTGTGAATGAAACAAAACACAACTCTAGTTTTTATGTTTTTGAGAAATTAACAGCATTAAAACATGACTAAAAGTTCACAGTCAGTTTTGGATAATATAGCTCATAATGTGTTTCTGTGCTGCCTCTTAGGTTATCATGGTGACTGGAGACCACCCCATCACAGCCAAGGCCATTGCCAAAGGTGTGGGCATCATCTCTGAGGGCAACGAGACAGTGGAGGACATCGCACTACGGCTCAACATCCCCGTCAGCCAAGTCAACCCCAGGTAACTTACATAAACAACTAAAAATATGTTGTTAAAGTGTAGAAAATGGTCAAAATATAGAAACTAGAATAGAATAAGGATGGAACACAGACTAAGTCAACCCTAGGTAACTTAGAAAAACATACAACTAAAAGAAAGTGTAGAAAACGCTACAAACAAAATTGTAGAAAATTGTCAAAACACAAAGAAACTAGAAGAGAATAAGGGTGGAAGTAAAGACGAACTGATGAAACTGCTCAGGACATCATAGTTTTTTGTTTTTTTTATTGTTGTGATGTAATAAAGCAACATGTTGTGTAGAATAATCCTGTAGTACATCCCCTGGCCATGTCTCTGAGCAGTTGTGTTGTGATGGTTTTTCAGGGATGCAAAGGCGTGTGTGATCCACGGCACAGACCTGAAGGACCTGTCCCAGGAGCAGATGGACGACATCCTGAAGAACCACACAGAGATCGTCTTTGCCAGAACCTCCCCACAGCAGAAACTCATCATCGTGGAGGGCTGCCAGAGACAGGTCAGGCACAAATGGAAAGAACCTTCACCAAAAAAATTACACTATGCACCTTTTTAAGTATACCATTTGCTCTTTACACAATTGAGAACCCTGTATATGTGTGTATTTGTTCAGGGAGCCATCGTCGCCGTAACAGGAGATGGTGTTAACGACTCTCCCGCTCTGAAGAAGGCGGACATCGGCGTTGCCATGGGGATCTCGGGCTCCGACGTGTCCAAACAGGCCGCAGACATGATCCTGCTCGATGACAACTTCGCCTCCATCGTCACCGGAGTCGAGGAAGGTGAGCGGTAAACAACAAAGAGGTGGAAACAGGAGGGAAAATATTTTGATGTTTTGATGTTTTGAAAAAATATATATATATTATTAGTAGTTAAGTCAGACAGGAGAAAAAAAAATTTGAATATCATGAAAACTTGTGTCACAATTGAGTCTGTATAATATATGGTTCTGACTTAATGAAATGAGTCACAAAAAATATTGAAAATTTTCATGATATTCACGTTTTCTCGCCAGTTTCTGCTCTTGCACATGGTTAAAATGTGCTCTATGAATCAGTCTTGATTTTAAGAAATCGTAGTTTGAATTGAATGACATGATGAATTTAGTGCTATTGAATTGCAAAAACTTTTAAGCCACATAGTTAATTTTATATTTTAAACTACAATCCCAAATATATATCTTTGTTTTATTGACTTGCTACACTAATTTATTAAATCCGTGACAGGTCGCTTGATCTTTGACAACTTGAAGAAGTCCATCGCTTACACTCTGACCAGTAACATCCCAGAGATCACACCCTTCCTGTTCTTCATCCTGGTCAACATCCCTCTGCCCCTGGGCACCATCACCATCCTCTGCATCGACCTGGGCACAGACATGGTGAGGCTGGCATAAAAAAACTATATATTAAATTATGTTCTGAATGATATTTCAGCTTGGTCTTCCTCTCAAATCAAATATTCTGACCTGATATTGGCAATCTAGTAACATCTAACCAAGTTCAAGTTTCTATTTTAAAACTTTATTATTATTATTGTTATTATTATTTTTATGTTTTTGTAATGGTGAATAAATCTACAAAATCAGCGTCAGAACAATCATAGATAATCATAATATCTTTTAAATAGTTCTCAAGTGGTTTATCACAATGTTTTGATTCATGAAATCATCAACGTTTACTCTGAGTTTCTGCTATTCTCAGTATGTCCACTAGATGGCAGTGTTGTATTTGTCTTAGGTCTGCAGATGACTGATTAGTACCACTGTGTCTCTGAATGACCCCTGACCTCGAACGTTCTTCTCCCTCAGGTCCCAGCCATCTCCCTGGCCTACGAAGCAGCGGAGAGCGACATCATGAAGCGTCAGCCCAGGAACCCGGCCAGAGACAAACTGGTGAATGAGAGGCTCATCAGCATCGCCTACGGACAGATCGGTACCAGTCCTCCCCAAATACATTATAACACTCAGACTTTGTAGAGTCTAAATCAAACTACAGCTTTTACTCAAGGATCTGTAGTGCTCAGGGCAGTGGACGGGAGAAAAAATTGGTCTGCTGGGTCCGTGAGTTGCCCCAGACCCCCAAATTTCTGTTGACAGGTTTGATATTGCTGATCTAAAACTAATTATATTTCATTATTGTATTGGAGTCTTTAATTGAGAAGTTAAGGCTAAATTTGTGGTGGGTTTGGATGTTTTTATTGTATTTAAGTGTAGATTTTTTTTATTTCTGTATGTGCAGAACTTTGGAGACAGTCTTTGTTTATGAAATGAGCTACAGAAATAAAGTGAATTGGATAAAAAAACAGTAGAATAATGGATTGTAGTTCATATAAATGGTCAGCTTCAACGTATGTATATTTTCTCTTGTATATGTCTCATTTTGGATTCTGAAAACTGAACCAAAATGAAAGGAAATGTTTGAATGAATATTTTATACATAGACAAGCACAATGATTGCTGTTTTCACTATGCTTCACTACACTTTCCCGTCTTTGCCCTGAGTCTGAGCCTGTCTTCGTTCTTCTCCGTTTGCAGGTATGATCCAGGCTCTGGGCGGGTTCTTCGCCTACTTCGTCATCATGGCTGAAAACGGCTTCCTGCCCTCTCACCTCGTCGGCATCAGACTCAACTGGGACGACCGCTCCAACAACGACCTGGAGGACAGCTACGGACAGCAATGGGTATGAGAAGACTAAAATACATTTAAAATAAGATCTAAACATATGACTCGAGAAGGCACAAGGTGTTAAAGTGCTCTTCTGGCTCTCTCGATAAATCTGTCAGCCTTTTTGGTTCCTCTTTGTAACTGGTTTTAGTATTACGATCTGGCAACCCAAAGTGAGGAGTTCATTTTAGATGCTGAACGGATAATTGACTTGAAAACCAAAATAAAACATATGAAAATAAACTCAGAAGTGCTCAGAAGGGAGGGGGAGTGACTTGGGGCGGGGACTCAGAGCATGAAAAATGAAAGTGAAACATATAAAACATATTAACATTGTTTTCTGCTGAACATGGTGATCTAAATATGTTATTTGTTAACAGTTAATACCCCATAGAAGTAAATTATTTCCTCTTTAACATACCTAAATTTGTACATCATTTCTTTTTTCCAGTTGATGATGAATCGGCATTAAAAAAAAATCTAAATCCGTAAAATAGATTTGAAAACTTCTGAACATACATTTCGTATTTGGTCGTGTTTATTGAAGACAGAGAGAATAAACTTAAGACTTATTATAATGCATTTAATTGAAATGAAAGCCCTTTAACTGTGTTCTTTCTCTTGGTGTGATTTAGACGTATGAGCAGAGAAAGATTGTGGAGTTCACGTGCCACACAGCCTTCTTCGTCAGTATCGTGGTGGTGCAGTGGGCCGACGTCATCATTTGTAAAACCAGACGCAACTCTGTGTTCCAGCAGGGGATGAGGTGAGTACTCTACACCGTACTGACAGGCAACGCTTTTTTTTATGTGCTTTCATTTAGACTTAGATTGTACTTTCATCTCAGGCATTCTCATTCTCGTCTCATGGTGGACTAGAAATGAACTCCAAGTTTTCCAAATGAAACAGAAAGTGCATCAAGATCCTTGTAGAGGTGCAAATGTGAGGAGCAACAACGTAAAAGCGGAGAAAAAAAAAAAAAAAAAAAAGCAAAGCACACTCAGATAGGCGATGTCCAAAACGTATTTCATTTAATGTTTTTCAAAAAGCCTTTATCAGACAATTTCTTAAAATTAAAAAAAGTTTTATCACGTATTATTAAAAAGTGTTAACATAAAAATAACGAATAAACTAAAAGCTACATTAATCAACTTGTGCCTATTGAAATTTAAAATGTGTAGTTCATTCTTCAGCCACTAGATGGACCAAGAGACTGAGATTCAACTGTTGTCTCCAGTCTGTTCCTAAGACATCAAATAAAGTTAATACACACATAGACAGATATTTGGTGTGAAATAATTTAAATAAAGATATCACAAACACAAACAGACAAACAGCACATTTCCTTCTGTCTAGTTTTGTATCGTATGAACTGAATGAATTGTGGTTGTAATTTAATATGTGATTTTCCCCTCAGGAATAAGATATTGATCTTTGGGTTGTTCGAGGAGACGGCTCTTGCAGCTTTCTTGTCCTACAGCCCGGGTATGGACGTGGCGCTACGGATGTACCCGCTCAAGTATGTTCACTTCTGAATATAGCACAATATAAATATCAAATAATCACTTGTTTCACCGTTTCTCATTAATAGAGGAGAATATAGTGGCGTCTCATAGTCTCATTTTTGCCCCTGTAGACTCAAATTACTTTGTATCAAAAATGGTAAAACTAATTCTACTTGTAGTATCATCTTAAATTACCATAAAACGCTATAAACGATTAATTACTGCTGTTTTATTATTATAGTTAATTTTTGCTGCCGAACATTGGATTTCCTTTGTGGTCAATAAAGGATTTATCTAAATTATAGTTACTTCTATGTATTTATCTGTATTTTGTATTTTGTTTGTTTGTTTGTTTTGACAGAAGAAACAAAAAAGTCACATTATTCTCCACATATTGAATAAAATTATTAAATGTATAAACTTTTAGCTCCTGTAGTTCCTGTATCAAACCGTCCTCCTCCTCCTCTGTGTTCAGGCCCAGCTGGTGGTTCTGTGCGTTTCCGTACAGTTTCCTCATCTTTGTTTACGATGAGATCCGAAAACTCATCCTTCGCCGAAACCCAGGAGGTGAGGCTCAATTACAACTGTGCTCAGTCTATTTCAGATTACCAGGGTCTGTTTTAGTCCTAGTTTAGACCTGCTTTAGTCCTAGTTTAGACCTGCTTTAGTCCTAGTTTAGACCTGCTTTAGTCCTAGTTTAGACCTGCTTTAGTCCTAGTTTAGACCTGCTTTAGTCCTAGTCTAGACCTGCTTTAGTCTTTTTCTTAGGCTGTGTTCACAAACCCAGAACCTGACCAGGACTAAACCAGGACTAGAGCAGGACCAAACCAAGTCTAAATCAGGACTAAAATAGGATCAAAACAGACCTGGTTAAGTTCTTTTCTTAGGCAGTGTTCAAAACTCTGGACTAAACTAGGCCAGGAGCAGGACCAAACCAAACAACTTTAGACCTAGTTTAGTCCTTGTTTAGACCTTTTCATATGTTGTGTTCACACTACCACACAATTTGCATAAAGGTTGGGACTAAACCTGGAACTAGAGCAGGACTAAACCTGGAATCAAACCAAGACAAATATGTACATATCCTTAAACTACTGTAGTCCTAGTTTAGACCTGGTTTAGTCCTGGTTTAGACCTGGCTTAGTCCTTTTTTTAGACTGTGTTCACAAAACCGGGACTAAACCAGGACTAGAGTGGGACCAAATCAAATCTAAATCAGGACTAAAATAGGATAAAAACATGCCAAGGGTGAACGAATCCTTAAACTACTTCAGAACTGGTTTAGTCCTGGTTTAGACTTGGTTTAGTCCTTTTCTTAGGTTATGTTCACACTGCCACACAATTTGCATAATAGTTGAGACTAAACCTGGAACTAGACAAGAACTAGACCAGGACTAGAGCAGGACCAAACCAAGACTACACCAAGACCAAACTGGAATCAAACCAAGGCAAATATGAACATATTCTTAAACTCTGTAATTCTAGTTTAGACCAGGTTTAGTCCAGGTACAAAACAGCTTTGGTTCTTTTTAGACTTGCTGTAGTCCTAGTTTGGACCTGGTTTAGTCCTGGTTTATCCCTTGCATTTACAGTAAAAATCCTAGAATATTATGTTTTGTTTAATAGCCCTACTGATGAAAACATTGTTGCTTACTCTACATTTTTTCTCTTTTCTCTTTCTCTTTTTCAGGCTGGGTCGAAAAAGAAACTTACTACTAAATTATCAAAGCATCATTTGCATCATTTACTTCTCCCTTCACCCTTCCTCTCCTCTCTTCCCTCTCTCCTCCTCCTCCTCCTCCCTCTCTCCACTTTCACCTGTACAAGATGTTTACTCCCTCATCTCACTCCCGTATCGGCCGCGCCTTCTTCCCCCCTGGCCCTCGCCTCGAAATTTAAAAATCAAAAACGCCAAGACTTCTGAGCGCGAGGACCAGGAGGGGGACAAGGGGGAGGGCATCTGGTGTTTTTGTGAATCTTTACCCACTCCCTCCTCTCTCTCTCTCTCTCTTTCTATCTCCTTCTCTCCATTATTTTTCTATCCAAACTTTGAACAGCACTAGTTCGCCAGTACCACTATCTGTGCCGTTACTACTACTACTACTACTACTACTACTACTACTACTACACATTGTTAAGTAATTTGTGATAAATTACATCAGTTTGTGGAATAAAAATGGTGCATCTTGATTGCTTTTTCTTACGGTAAGCGGAAAAAAAACACCGGGCAGCTTGGTCTCGAGCTTAAAAACGTGAATTTTCGCAACGGACACCAGCTCGTATTTCATAGCTTTGGCCTTTAGCTTCGCAACCACTGCCATTTTACAAACTCTCTCTTTACTCTCTCGACTGTCACTGCCAATATTCTACTGCCAACTAACTAGCCCTTCCTCAAGGCTGGTCACAAAGGTCACATTCCTCTCTCTCTCTCTCACACTCCCTTTATTTGAATTTTCGGAAGTGTTTTTTTAAGTTCGGAGTGGGTTTTGAAAGCTGCTTGTTTTCATTTACACATGACAAAGCACACGATATATATTTTTTTCCATCCCGAATCTCCCCAAACCCTAAACTCCTGCCTGTTGCTCCTCCCTTACTGTTCGTCTACTTGTGAACACAGTGCAAATGTCCCTCCCTCCACCGTTTCCCGCCTCCATCCCTCACCTCCCTCTCTCCCAAATACTGCATCCCTCTCTCTCCCCCCACCCTTTACCCTCCTGTTAAAAAAAAATACAATCTTTCTGTGTCCACGGAAAAAGAGATTTCTCTCCGATTTCATTATTTAAAAGCAGTGGATGTGTGAAAATATATACAAGGCACTGTATGGTAAAAAAAACGTATGAAATGAAGTATAAAAAAGAAAAAAAATACAAAGAATAATACTATATATGAAAATGAAATAAACTAGAAGGATCTCTCTTTTTTCAGTTTGGTCTCCAGTTTGTTTTGTGTGAGTTTTGTCAGAAAATGGAAATAAATGCTGTGACCAACTCTTCATGTCGCCAGCAGTGTCCAGTCATCTGTTTATATTGTGAAGATTACACATTTATGATTAATGCACTGGGAGGAATAACACGAGTACCGCACGTTTAACTTAGAAGTACAAATATACAGTATCTAAAGTTGAATTATAGACCTGTTCCTCACTATCCTGAAGCTGATTCCAAATGTAGGCTATAATTGAGTACCGTATTTTCTGCACTATAGGGCGCTCTGGATTATAAGGCGCACTGTTACTGAATGGTCTATTTTCAAACTCTTTTCCGGACTATAAGGCGCATTAAACGAAACACAACAGTTAGATAAGTTAGTCAAACTTTATTTAACACGTCCACAGTAACTCTCAACTTTGTTTAATTGTAACATGTAAAAAAATATACTGTCTGAGAGCGATAAATTGTTAGTGTATTCACAATAACTCATAATTGTTCAAGGGTGATTACGGCGTCCAGCACGTCCACATCCCTCTCGTCATTATCTGAGTCAGTGTGGTTACTGTTCCCTGGCCGTTCAGTGATGATTCGGGTCTTGGTGAAAGCTCGGACCACAGTTGATACTGATCCTTAACCCGGGCGTCCACGATCCTTTGGCAGATCGTGGCGTAAGTCGCTCGGCGCTGTCTCCCTGTCTTGGTGAAAGTGTGTTCGTCTTCTCTCATCCACTGCTCCCACGCAGCTCGCACTTTCACTTTATAACAGTGTTGAGTTTAAAGTGGGCGTTGTGAGCATGTTTCTTGACAGGTGCATTTTGATATTAAAAGGGATCACAGTATGTATTACTCCGCGATGCTCCTGACTACGGGAGCCGTAATGCTGCAAGTGGTGCGGCTTTGTAGTTTACTAAAGTCGTACTAAGACGCCCCAATAAATTCATATATAAGGTGCTCTTGGATTATAAGGCGCGCAGTCGTTTATTGATGAAATTAAAGGATTTTAAGTGTGTCCTGTAGTGCAGAAAATACGGTAATAAGTGTTATATGTTGACATAATTGATACTTTGCAGCTGACTTTCCCTGGGGTTGTGAAATTTTAGGCACTGCTTTCTCTTGAGACCTTTGTTAGACTTTTAACACAATCTGACCATAAAGAACTGACTTAGCTGGAACTACAACAGCTGATTTTTTTTACTGTTAAACAAGTCTCTCTTTTAAAAAATTACGGTCACAATCTAGTTGGTATTAGTCAGCAATTTTTCAGCTCGTCACTCTCCCCTTTTGTTCAAAATCAAACACATAAATTACAGTTCTTCAGATGATCTTTGGCTTTTTTGGCTGTTTGCTATTGTGTGCACGATGGTATTTATGGAGTAAGAAAGCTTTCAGAAATATTGATGTGCATATTTGGCTGTAGTTGAGCATAAAATAAATATTCATAAACTCTCAAATGAGTCCAGTCATACATAAAATATGTTCTGTGTTTTTTTTTTTTTTTTAATCCAACGGAACACGAATTGAAAAGTTATGACATCAAGAACTACAATCATGAAATAAAAATGTATGATTACACTTACTTCAGTACGAAGACGAATTCATAGACACGACTTTACCGTCAAAAATATGTCATCACTTCACAGGCATTATTTATTTTATGCGGCGCCAAAGTCCAGCATCTTGATCAATGTTTCTTCTGCTCAAATAAATAAAGCCTGTGACAGTAAAGTCGTGTCTTTGAATTTGTATTCGTACTGAAGTAATTCTTGATGTCATAACTTTTAAATTTGTATTCTGTTGGATAAAATACACACAGCACATTTTATGTACGACTGGACTCATTTGAGAGTTTAAATGATTTAATTTATGCTTAACTACAGCCAAATATGCACCGATTTCCCAAACATGCACAGATTTCTATCCTATGCACACAAATATTTCTGAAAGCTTTCTTACTCCATAGAAACTGATGAACATTCTGCCATACACATTCATGTTGAGCACCCTCAGCTTGACGTCACTGCAGTATCAAGTAGAAAATCATTTACATAAGAAAAAATAATGTCTATCTTAGGCCTGCTCTTGGTGGAATATAAAAACAAGTATCTATGTTAAAACCATTACGGTCTATGGTTAAAACATGTTACATTCTGGAGCTGCATGATGCCATAGAAATAGAAAGTTAAAGCCATACTTCGGAACATTCTCCTTGGAAATGAATAAGCCATATGGTTGAAGATTATAGCCAAAGGAACAGTATTTCCATGGAAACAAGAAGGAGGCGTTTGTGGAGATGCAAGCCCGTTCAGAGTAAGGACACAAGTTTTCAGTAAAATTTAAGACAACCAAAAACAGCTAATAAGTTTTAATAAATGTGTTTAATCATAGCTGGACTTTTAAAATGTTGCACAGGAATTAAAGTAAAAGTAACAATCCAGATAGAATGGAGTGTCCAGAGGGAATCTTCAGCCCTACATGAAGAACCAGGACAAAAGAACCAGGACAGAGGAGGAGAAACCAGTGAAACAGGTCAGTAACATGAGCTTTCTGAAGGCCTTTATGAAGGATCTGTTCAGCAAAAGCTTTTCACCACCCTGATACTTGGCAAGGTGGGTGAAGTGTCTTGTCTAAAGGCGCAACAACAGAACTTGATCTGAGCAGGAATCTGAATAAGGCCTAACAATAAAGTAGAACATTTTAAAAGAACGGCAACTGCAAAGGTCAGATTGGTCGAAGTCTCACAACAGCGTCACAACACAAGATGAAAAAACCAAACTTTAGTGAAATCCAGTCGAGAGAAAAGCACAGACGTCTTCCCTGTTCACAAATGCACAAAGCTCTGACCTTCTGCATGTTTTCCTCAAAAATAAATAGTCTGTTTTGACTTTAAAATAGGCTGAAATACGTCTGTCAGCGTCTCCATGTGGTTCGTTTTGGCGCTTTGCTTTTGGCTCCTGCTCAAACCTCAAAGCTGTGACATAATCAGTCCGCCCGATTGACCGTACAGCGGACACAGGCCAAGATGGATTCTCGTGAGTTTGTGAGCTCACAAACGGTGCACCTTTAAATTGGACGCCTACGGATCACAGCTAAATGGTTTGATTTTTGTCACTGGTTTAGTTCCCGATCCTTTATCTAGAGCTGAGAGCACAAGCGCTTCACTCATTATCAACACATCCAGCGCTAATACCCCCCTCTCCCCTCTCTCCTTCCTCTCTCCTTCCTCTCTCCTTCCTCTCTCCTTCCTCTCTCCTTCCTCTCTCCTTCTCCTCTCTCCCCCTCTCTCCTCCTCTCCTCTCTCTCCTCCTCTCTCCTTCCTCTCTCCTCTCTCTCTCTCTCTCCTCTCTCTCCTTCCTCTCTCCTTCCTCTCTCCTTCCTCTCTCTCCTCTCTCCTCTCTCCTTCCTCTCTCTCCTCTCTCTCCTCCTCCTTCCTCTCTCCTCTCTCTCTCCTCTCTCTCTCTCTCCTCTCTCTCCTCCTCTCTCCTCCTCTCTCTCCTTCCTCTCTCCTTCCTCTCTTCCCTCCTCTCTCCTTCCTCTCTCCTTCCTCTCTCCCTCCTCTCTCCTTCCTCTCTCCCTCCTTCTCCTCCTCTCCTTCCTCTCTCCCTCCTCTCTCCCTCTCCTCTCTCCTTTCCTCTCTCCTCCTCTCCTCCTCTCCTCCTCCTCTCCCTCTCTCCCTTCCTCTCTCTCCCTCTCTCCTTCCTCTCTCCTCCCTCTCTCCTTCCTCTCTCCTCCTCTCTCTCTCTCTCCTCCTTCTCTCTCCCTCCTCTCTCCTTCCTCTCTCCCTCCTCTCTCCTTTCTCTCTCCCTCCTCTCTCCTTCCTCTCTCCTCCTCTCTCTTCCTCTCTCCTCCTCTCTCTCCTTCCTCTCTCCTTCCTCTCTCCCCTCTCTCCTCTCTCTCTCCTCTCTCCTTCCTCTCTCCCTCCTCTCTCTCCTTCCTCTCTCTCCTCTCTCCTTTCCTCTCTCCCTCCTCTCTCCCTTCCTCTCTCCTTCCTCTCTCCTTCCTCTCTCCTCCTCTCTCTCTCTCTCTCCTCTCTCCTTCTCTCTCCTTCCTCTCTCCCCTCTCTCCTCCTCTCTCCCTCCTCTCTCCTTCCTCTCTCCTTCCTCTCTCCTCCTCTCTCCTCCTCCTCCTTCCTCTCCCTCCTCTCTCTCTTCCTCTCTCCCCTCTCTCCTTCCTCTCTCTTCTCTCTCTTCCTCTCTCCTCCTCTCTCTCCTCTCTCTCCTCTCCTCTCTCCTTCCTCTCTCCCCTCTCTCCTTCCTCTCTCCTCTCCTCTCTCTCCTTCCTCTCTCCCCTCTCTCCTTCCTCTCTCTCCTTCCTCTCTTCCCCTCTCTCCTTCCTCTCTCCTTCCTCTCTCTTCTCTTTCTCTTTCTCCTCTTTCTCCACCTCCATCCTCTCTCTTCCTGATTACCACCAGGCGCTAAAGCCGCATTTTGCACCATGAGGCCCCCAATGCACAAACACACATACAAACACACACAAACACACACACTCACACACACTCACAAACACACACACAAACCACACACACGAACACAAACACACACACAAACACCCGCACACAATCACATTCACAGACACAATCACACACACAAACACACAGAAATGTGCATAATCACACACTCACAAACGCACACAATCACAAACACACACATGTCCACAATCACACACACAAACACACACATTCACAAATGCACAATCACACACACACACTCACAAACAAACACACTCACAAACGCATACACACACAAACGCGCACACGCACTCACAAACACACACAACCACACACACACGCTCACAAACGCACATAATCACAAACACACACTCACAAATGCACAATCACACATCCACACTCAGAAATACACACACACAAACTCACACTCAAAAACACACACACACACATTCACAAACACACACACTCACAATCACACACACAAACACACACACACTCACAAACACACACAATCACACACACACGCACACAGCCACACTCACATGCACTCAACTTCTCTCTCCATCTTTCTCCAAAAATCCAAAGAACTAAGACTTAAAAGTGTTTAGAACTGTTAGTTCTTCTTGTAGTCTGCACTGAAATGGAGCAAAGGATCATGGTCTATGTAGTTCTCTCTTTTCTCTATTGCTGTTGCTGCACCATAACTCTTGTAATTCGATATATTGTGATGGTCCACGATATTATTGTGAGAACTTTGACAACACAATATCATGATATTTTGGTTATTGTTACATCCAACAATATCGTATTGAATTGAAAGTGCACAGTATCGAAAAGTGTATCATATCGTGGCATATGTATCGTATCGGCAACTTCTTAATGATACCCAGCCCTAATTATAACGTGTCTTAAAGCTCACAAGAAACCATTTTGTGTAACCATAGGGTCCGGTCAAGTGGTAACGGAGGGAAACAGGGGCAGATTTTTTACATTCAAATGTCTCTTATTCAGAAACTAGAGGGACTATTGAAATAAGTAAAGTATCAGAATGTAGGAAAGAGTTACACTCCAACAGGGTAAAGTTAAACTTGCAATTTCTTTCAAGTTGTTGACAAAAAATTTTAAAACTCATGTCAGTAACGGAGGGAATATGCAGCACTTTTTGGGCAATAAATACAAACAGTGATAACTCTTGGTTCTCACTTACATATCCTTAACAAACTGGTTTGAATATTTGCTTCATATAGTTTTCTACCATATGGTACAAGATTAGGTTGAAAAACCTCTTACTTTTTCAGTAATGAGATTTTTTATTAAGAAAGGTCATGGTAACGGAGGGAAAAGTAACGGAGGGAAAATTGTACAAACAAGTAGAAGGTGCATGATTTTGCATAATTTGTCACTTTTTTCTTCCGAATACTTTAATATTACTTCAAAATGAAAGGAAACTATTTCTATAAAATATGTCAGTCCTTCCAAGCAAATTTTTATCATTTAAATTGTATTTATTTTTTTTAAATCATGTACCTTCATCAACAGTTCAAAGATGGAATAACACAAGATATGATGAAATACATCCATTTATTTACATGATTTGCAGGTCTTTGAAATTTGGGAAATAGTTTTTGTTCCATGTTTCATACATGGTCTGTTTAAAACGTATGGAACTTTAGAACCAAAAATGGTACAGAAAAAAGGTGAACAGTTTCATAAACTAGAGTACATATGTATCTGTTGAATACATTTTTATATCAGATGCATTAATTTGAATTTTTGGCCTTGCTGTTTACTTCTGCTTGACCGGGCCCCACAGTGACTTTAACCATTGTTACCATTTACTTAGTCATAAACTAAACCCAATTCTTAACCTATTTTAACTCATATCTTAACTTTAAATCATGCTGTAGATCTCATAATGAAGGATTTATTACATGGAGACCTCTTTTTTGTCTCCATCAGGGAGGCAGACACATGGATCGAGTGTGTGTACAGATTTTAGTCTGCACAATGTGATAAATACGCAGCTGCAACTTCTCTCTCTTTCTCCATCTTTCTCCTTTAAAACCTTTCTTCCTTACACCTATTTTACCCGCACACACACACACACACACACACACACACTAATATATATTGCCTTTTTTTCCTTTTCGGACACCCCTCCCCCTCCTCCTCCGCGTCTCTCTCTCCGTAATCTGGCTGGCCCGCTGCCCCTCTCCTCCGCTCCACTGTTCTGTGTGATAGGATATCGATCGGTTTGCCTGGAGTCCGCGCGGCGCATGGGTGGGGTGATGGAGGACGAGGGAGGGAGGGAGGAGGGGAGAGGGGAGAGGGGTGCGTCGTGGTCAGACATGCTCCCAAGGTCGTTACCAAGGCAACTGGGGGGTCACCGGGGTTGCTATGGCGCCCGGGGTTGAAAGGTCACGAGGGTTTTTTTTGGGTGAGGAGGAGGAAAAAAAAAAAAAAAAAAAAAAGGGGGCAGCTCTTTGGCTTTGTAATGGGGAGAGAAAGAAAAAGAAAGAGAGAGAGAGAAAGGGGGGAGTGTACGGAGGATGACCAGTGCTGGGGTTGCAGAATTATATTGGGGTGGGGTTTGATTGGGGGTTGGAGGGGGGGTAAGAGGGGTAGAGAAGGTGGTGGGGGGGTGTTAATAATAAATGTGTGCCTGCTGCAAAGGTCCTTGGTCCTATTCTCTCCGCTCCGTGTGAGGTTTTTCCTTTTTTTTTGTAAGAATCATAGGAGCAAATAAAGAAAATATAAACAGTAAATACAAAATAGGATCGTCAAAAGTATCGGAAAGCAGATACTAATCGATACGAAAGAGAGTATCGACACTAGTTACTTATTTGCGCAAGTATCGAGACTCAAAAAGTCACATGAACCTTTCCTGACCCACTGAGGGAATACATGGGAATATAAAAGAAAATACTAAGATTTAAAGTTAAAAATCACATTCTATAATCTAAAGAAAGAGTGTTTTTTATTATCATGGTATCAAAATCAGTACTGACTATTCCCTAGTATCGAAATTCGAGTTTTAAATGTTAATATCTTAAGTTAGTAGTATGTTAGTATTTAGGGATGTAACAATATCTGAAATTTTGTGGTATTGTATCGTCAAAGGTGTCACAATAACAGAGGTGGGGACTTGCAAGTCGTGACTTTGACTCCAGTCACTATTTTTAGGACTTGAGACTTGATAAAATGGACTAAGACTTGGGACTCGACTTGGACCTGAAGATCATTGACTTGGGACTTGACTCGGACTTGAGGCCTGTAACTTGAGAAGCACTTTTAAATCTGAATTCTTTCTATTCTGACCTTAATGATTCTCACTAATATCTTGTCAAGACGTTTTAAAAAGGAAAAATCAACATTTCTACAACTCTTACATACTCTATAAATACTCATATATAAATATTCTATGATTTTATAAGTACAGTTTAGTTTAAAATTCATATTAATTGCAAAAATCTAAGCTATATTTGGTACTTTGGTTTAAAGACTTGAAATGACTTGAAGCTCAAAGCAGACGACTTGGACTTGACTCGGACTTATGGGCCACTGACTCGAGACTCAACTTGGACTTACTTGTCTTTGACTTGGGACTTGACTCGGACTTGAGGTCAAAGACTTGAGACTTACTTGAGAGTTGCAAAAATAAGACTTGGTCCCACCTCTGCACAATAATAACATGTATATATCAAGTTTCTTTTCTTTAATTCATTGTTATGGTGCAGCATTCACTAAAAAACAGAGAACTACATATCCCATGATCCTTTGCTTTGTTTCAGTCCAATCTACTTGATTAGTGTTATGAATTTAATTTATTTGGACTTTGACAGAAAAGTAGCACATTAACAGTTTTGTAAATCTCTTTAAAATATCACAATAAATATCATACCGTGGCATGAATATTGTACAAATATCGTATCGAGAGATTTGGATATCGTTACATCTGTATTACTATGTTAGAATAAAAAAAGTTGTAACTAGAAAAGCACTCAGAGAGCGCAGACCTCCGCCAAGGACGACCCCCATTTTTTATATAAATTGTGATAAAAATCAGTCTTCTGGATCAGATCTGGATCAGCCTTTGGAATATGAAAGAGGATCCCATTGTCCATCCCTGAGTCAAACTTCATGGGGTTTGGTCAATAATTAACCGAGATATTGAGAAACAAAACTTTTTGGCCCCATTTACCACAATGTTAACTAAAATTTCAAAGTGATCCAGAATCCAGGATTTCTTCCGGATCAACCCCAAAATGAAATCAGTTCTTCCTTTTCACAATTCCAACAAATCCTGAAAATTTCATCAAAATTGGTCCATAACTTTTTGAGTTATGTTGCTAAAAGACAAACAAACAAACAAACAGACAAACAGACAAACGCCGGCAAAAACATAACCTCCTTGGCGAAGGTAAAAATGCATTCATAACATTAACTTTTATTGTATAGAGTTTTATGTTTTTCTGTGTATTTCTGTATTCACTATTTAACCTCTAATTTTATTTTATTTTATTTAAAGGTAGAACTGTAGAAATGGAACCCGCCATGGAGAAATTATTACTTTTAAAGGGCCGCATATGGCCCCCGGGCCTTAGTTTGATCACCCCTGGTCTAGAATGTTCCACGGTAGAGCTTAAACCTATGTATATCAAGGGAGACAACTATAAGTTACAAAACAGGTCAGATCTGTGGAGAGGCGACCCTATTCACAGAGAGAATTATTGCATTTTTGAGCAACAGAAACACCCGTAATGAATAAACGCTAAATAGTTGTGCTTACTGTCAGTTTAGTTGTGTTTAATGTCATACTGTGGAACATTCCAGGCAAAGCGAGGACATCTCCATGGAGACAACGCAAGTCACCTTTAAGCCAGGCCACAGCGTACAGTGTTTGTGTCCACAGAACTGAAACGCAGTGAGGAAGTAGTTTTCTAGTGATCGTGTAGTACAACTTTCTTCTTTTGTAATGCGTGATCCACAGAGTCGCTGAGGCCACACACTTCGGGACGAGTCTGAGGCTGAGCCCAGGTCTCCTCACGTCGACGCACAGGGCCACGACAGCAACTACAAACAACAAAACAGCACATCTGCGTTACAAATATGCTTTATTACGAGGAATATCATTAAATTAGTAGTATGTTAGTGTGTAGGGATGTAACAATAACCGAAATTTCGTGGTATTGTTTCGTCAAAGGTTTCACAATAGCAGAGGTGGGGACTTGGACTCGGGTCAGACTTGAGACTTGACTTGATAAAATGGACTAAGACTTGAGACTCGACTTGGACTTGAAGGTCAGCTACTTGGGACTTGACTAGGACTTGAGAAGACTTGAGAAGCACTTTTAAATATGAATTTTTTCTGTTCTGATGTAATGATTCACACTAAGATCTTTTCAAAACATTTAAAAAGGAAAAAAATCAACGTTTCTACAACTCTTATATACTCTATAAACACTCATATATAAATATACTATGAATTTTTAAGAACATTTTAGTTTAAAATTCATATAAATTTCAAAAATCTAAGCTATATTTTGTACTTTTGCTTAAAGACTTGAAATGATTTGAAGCTCAAAGCAGACGACTTGGACTTGACTTGGACTTATGGACCAGTGGCTCGATTCTCGACTTGGACTTGCCTGTCTTTGACTTGGAACTTGACTCGGACTTGAAGGTCAAAGACTTGGGACTTACTTGAAACTATCTATCTATGTCTATCAATATCAAGATCATTGAGTTAATTGTGGGTAATTGTGGTCCTACATCACGAGAAATTGACTCTCGTGAGCTTTGTTCTTTCATCAAAAACCTGCCTGAAGAGCTTTTGTACATCATCCTTGTGTGTTTGCGATCCCCCCCACGGCTCTATAATTATTTAACAACAGTGTCTTGTTATTTTCGCTATTTATTTTGAGTTCATTTTTACCATTTATACTTTTAGCTCTTTGTTATTGTAATATATTGTGATGTGTGAGCTGCTGTGTCCAGATAATTTCACTTGTGGATCAATAAAGTTTGTCTAAGTCTATAAACAGCCAGATAAAAAAGCACTTTGTGTTAATTGGACTTTTTGCAAGTATAGACTGAATGGAAATGACTGCGAGATTAATTTTGAAGCTTAATTCTGCTTCTAAAACTGTCTTACGTTGTATTGTGACCTTAAAAGACCCGTATAACTCTTTTTTCTGATCTGTTATAATGTTGTTTCCTCATTAAACACACCTGGAGTTGTGTTTTGTTTCATTCACACATTTGAGTAATCCTGCATTTTTAATCATAGCTTCTCCAAAGCTCAAAATGCTCTGGTCCACCTTGTGATGTCATGAAGCAATAATTTACATGTCAACAGCAACAACAGTTTAACCTTTTGTTCAGAAGAGATTGGCAATACATGCATCACGAATTACGGACTTCGGTCATCATGGAGTGCATACTGGGAAGGATTTTCAGAAAAAGTGAGTCATGTTTGTTTTCCCAGTGGGATGCGTCTATTGACAAAGCCGATCTTTTCGAGTCTTTTGAAATATATCACTTTTGTTTCTGGTTCTGATATTGTCATATTTTAGTTATGGGATTCGCATGTCATAATTGTGTGGTTGTTGGATCCTAACAGCGGAAAACGGCTCGAGAAATGAGCTTCAGAAGTTTGCGAACTCTACAACTGCAAAATGGAATCAGATGTGTGACTGCAAACCTCCGTCCAAACTGTTTCCCTTCCCAACGGAATTGAAAAATAGTAAAAGGTGAAGGCGATGGGCAGGATTGAGCCACAGGAAGGACAAAAAAAGGAAACCTTTGGCTGCCTAAGAAATCATCCCGAGTTTGCAGCGAACATTTTATATGTGGAGCACCAACAAAGGTTAAGTGAGAGGTACAGAAGACAAACAGACTGAGCTGCACTTTCTTGTTGTTGTGGTTTTACAGCAACATCACGTCTTGGTCTCTTTGCAGTGGAAGGTGTTTCTTGGTGAACAGCTGGTGCCTTTCACTTTCACGTTGACTTTTTGAATTCGTAACCAAGGTTGAGCGAGGGATCAGGACTTTGTTTTGTTGTCGCTCCACATACAAAATGTTCGCTGTAAACTCGGGATGATTTCTTAGGCAGCCAAAGGTTTCCTTTTTCGTCCTTCCTATGGATCAATCCCATGCCTATCGCCTTTGCCTTTCACTATTTTTCAATTCTGTTGGGAAGAGAAACAGTTTGAACGGAGGTTTGCACTCACACAGATCTGATTCCCTTTTGCAGTTATGGGGTTCGCAAACTTCCGAAGCCCGTTTTCCGCTGTTAGGATCCAACAACCACACAATTACAATGTCCGAATCCTAAAACTAAAATATGACAATATCAGAACCAGAAACAAAAGCGATATGGTTCAAAAGACTTGAAAAGATCAGCTTTGTCAATAGACGCATCCCACTGGGAAAACAAACATGGCAGTTTGATGCTCACTTTTTTGGAAAATCCTTCCCAGTATGTACTGCGAGATGACCAGAAGTCCAAAATTTGTGATGCATGTATTCCAATCATTGTCCAAATGATTCTAATGAAGGTGTATGTAGTTTTAAAACACCTCATAACCTCACAAGGTGGAAGTGTTTTCAGTTTCAGAGAAGAACTCAGCTTAAATACGCCGGGTTTGTGTGTTAAACATGTGAATGAAACAAAACACAACTCCAGGTCTGTTTTTGATGAGGAAACAACATTATAACAAATCAGAAAATAGCATTAAGTCTTTTAAGATCACAATATAATCATAAGACAGTTTTAGAAGCAAAATTAAGCTGACAGTCATTTCCATTCAGTCTATACTTGCAAAAAATCCAATTAATACAAAGTGCTTTTTTTATCTGGCTGTTTATAGACTTAGACAAACTTTATTGATCCACAAGCGAAATTATTTGGACACAGCAGCTCACACATCACAATATATTACAATAACAAAGAGCTATAAGTATAAATGATAAAAATAAACTCAAAATAAGTAGCAAAAATAACAAGACGCTGTTGTTAAATAATTATAGAGCCACGGGGGAGATTGCAAACACACATGGATGACGTACAAAACCTCTTCAGGCGTGTTTTTGATGAAAGAGTAACTTTATAACATAACTACAGAAAGCTCCAAAGAGTCAGTTTTGCATAATACCGCCTCAAGGTGAAGGCCAAGTGTCTTGCCAAAGGCTGGGGATCAAACCGAGTGTGAGGTTTTGGCAATGGTCCGTGATCCAGAATACAAATTCACATCCACTCGGACTTATCTGGTCCCAAGCACCTTAGTCCCACCAATTCACCCTTTTTCAGATTTTAAGCCAGTGGACCAAATAGGATCTTAAAGTCACAAGGCGTCCGCACTAAACCAATCTCAAAATACTGCCCCTCCCCTCCCTCCCTCTCCCCCCCTCGCTCCCTCTCCCCCTCTTCTGTGGAAAGGGTTTTCAGTCTCCGCAAATGTATGACCAACTGACAAACGGCTTTTCTGTTTTAAATGTGCGTTGTGTAACTTTTCTGGTGGAGGGTCCCTCAAATGATTTTCTCCATGGAGATTTTACAGTTTTGTCGCTTTTAGTTTTTACAGTTTTACGTTTTACAGTTTTGTCCGCTATTATTGACCACTTATAATTGAATAAATGTAAGGTAGAGCTGTTTAATGTCATACTGTGGAACATTCCAGGCATAAAACAAGCAGGTGATGGACCCAAAACAAAAAGCTACATAGTGCACCTTTAAATTGTTTTAGGTTTTTTTTTTTTTTTTGTTTTTTTTAGAAATTTAAAATATAAATAAATAAATTTACATTAATTTTTAATAAAAAAAATTTACAAAAATGTTAATAGGACTTTATAAATAAATAAATAATTGACAAAAATTTTTATAGGACCTTATTAATAAATACATAAATAAATAAATGACATTTTTTAATAGGACTTTATGAATAAGTAAATAAATAAATTGACAAAATTTTTTAATGGGACTTTAAATTTTGAATCGGAAAAGGTTTTGTTGCCATAGTCACAGAAAAAAATGTGCATATTAGCAACTATGAATAAATACAGTCAATATAAACCATGATAAAATTAAATACAGATATGCATTAAAATGTAAATAAAACAAGCCTGATTAATTGAAGTTTTGGTATATTTATTGTTGTGTCTAAGAAATAAGTGTGTAAAAAAAAAAAAAAAAAAAAGCCACAGTATGTAACTTTTTAAAATTATGCATGTTTTTTATGCATGTTTTTTTTTGTTTTTCATTTTGGTAGATTCAATAGCACTGAAAAACTTTGAAAAAAACATGTATTCTTACTTGCAAGCATTCTTACTTGCAAGCTTGCATCTCCACAAACCTGACTCTTATGTACTAGTAGTCTGCAGGAGGGCCTCTGTTTCTTTGTGTGGATAAAAAATAAAAATACAAACCAATTGCTCCAAAAATGAAGTTAGTGACGAAAAACAGTTCTGCAAAAGAGACAAAAAAGACACACACACAAAGTTAAACATTATAATTTTACTAATTGATACTTTGCAGTGACCTCACGCTGGGGGTTTTCTACATGTACGTGTATTGGCAGAATTATCACCAGTTACCATGGAGACACAAAGTAAACATTAGTGAACACTGATTAAAAAAACATTTTAAGGTGACGTCTGAAAACTCAAGAAAAAATACAAACTGGATTTAAAGAGCAGTTTCAGGATCTGGTCATGGTTCTGTTCAGGAGTTTGATTTTCAACATAAAAAGTGAGAGTGAAAAACTAAAAACTGTAAACTAATGTGAACCACTGTGATGTTATCTGAGAGGGATTTTGTTTAACAGGATGAATCAGATCAGCTGATGTAGTTCCAGCTAAGTCAGTTATTTAAAGCTCAGATAAAAGTCTAATTTGAGTAACAGATCATCACACAGAGAAGAGCCTACAGCGACAGTAACATCACACCTCCAGCTAATGTTGAATCAACTGCAAAGTATCAATATTGTATTATAAAACAAAATTTTACAATCTTGTTACATTTATACTTAAACCTCAACTTACACATTTAAACATATGTTTTAACCCAGTTCTGATTTTAAGGCTGTTTGTCCTGACCAGTGGTGGAACGTAACAGTGTAAAAGTATTAAAGTAAAAAAGCTGTCTGTCCATGTGTGATCTATGGTCATGAGCTTTGGGTAAAGACCAAAAGGACGAGATCGCGGATACAAACACTCGAAATGAGTTTCCTCCGCAGGGTGGCTGGGCGCTCCCTTAGAGACAGGGTGAGGAGCTCAGTCACACGGGAGGAGCTCAGAGTAGAGCCGCTGCTCCTCCACGTCGAGAGGAGACAGCAGAGGCTCGGGCATCTGTTCCGGATGCCTCCTGAGCGTCTCCCTCGGGAGGTGTTCCGGGCATGTCCCACCAGGAGGAGGCCCCGGGGAAGACCCAGAATACGTTGGACGGACTAAGTCTCTCGCCTGGCCTGGGAATGCTTAGGGGTCCCCCGGAGGAGCTGGACGAAGTGTCCGGGGTGAAGGAAGTCTGGGAGTCCCTGCTTAGACTGCTGCCCCCACGACCCAGCCCCAGATAAGTGGAAGAAAATGGATGGACGGTCTGTCTGTCTGTACTTTACTTAAGTACACTACATCTGAGAGCAGGTATGTGTACTTTCTACTCCACTACATTCTTGAAAAGTAAAAGTATTTTTGTTATTGTCCGAGTCCTGCTGAAAAGGCCAAGGGTTTTTAAAAAATGTTTTATCAAGGTCATAGATTGAGCAAACAATCATATAAACAAAGCTAAGCTCAAATTTATATCAAAACCTACATTTGAAGCTTTGTTAGATCTCCAAATACTTTTACTTTTTACTCTTTAAGTACAATTTTAAACGGGTACTTTAATATTTTCATTATTGCTTTTACTTGATTTTTTTTGTTTTTGTTTTGTTTTGTTTTGTTATTCACATTGTGTATTTTTTCAGGTGAAGGTACTTTTTCCACCACTGGTTTTGACCAAGGAGTGAGTGACTGACACAAATTTGATTTCTTTACGTACCTCTGAAAATCTCCGGGTACCTTAGGGTTAAGAAGATACTGAGAAGAAAGAAATCAAAGAAAAGATTATTGCCTTGGAAATAATATACATTCATTAATGTTTTATTTATTAATTTATTCTTTTTTTTTTACCTTAATTGTGAAGCAATCAAGAAGACGAAGATACATTTGAGAAGGGAGTTGAATTTTGCAGGCTCCATTTGGTGCAGCCACTTGCAGTTACAGCAAACAGCCTCATGATGGCGCCCGTCTCCCTCCAGCTGCACCTGAGCACTCCCGGAAATACAATGCGATCTGCACACACACAAACACACACAGAAAGGTAAAAATATGCAGGCTACGTTTTATTTTCTTAATTTGTAAACAGTTTTCATAGCTTACTTATGACTGAGAAGTGAAGAAGTTTGAGGGTTTTTTTTGAATTATTATTATTACTTTTGTACTTTATTGTATTTTATTTTTTACTTGGGCTTGTAAGTGGCATGGGAGTGCATTGCGCCCATTTGACACGCTAAATAATCCGCAAACATCAACCAAAATTAACCAAAATGCGCCAAAATGAAAACGACCTTGTTCGCTTTGCTTCGCGTTACCGTATATAACAATGCTGCTTTCATGTACACTAGGAATTATGAGGGATTACACATGAACGGGCCACTCATGTTGTAATTTCTACTAGAAAACTGAGAATTTATTTATTTTTTGACGACCTGATTAAAATAACCTTTGACCTTTCACTATGGCGCACCGCAGTGTAGTAAAAAAAAAAAACTTTTCTTGTTTTCCACTTTCACTTTTACTTGAATTTACTTGTTTTCAGTGTGTGCAGGTGTATTTGTCAAGAAAAGAAAGAACAAAATCGTAATTGACACGAGTGGAAAGAGCCATTTTCTCGTGAACGCAGCGTAATAGCGTAAATAAACGTCTGCTTTACGTACCCGGATTTGTCTTTCTCATTTGAATCCGCTTTTTCGTCTTTAATAGATCCAAATTCAGAGTTTTGTCCAACTACAGAGACACTCCACAGCTCCACTTTTGTTTCTACCTCCTCCATTTGAATGTAAAAATAAAAATATTTGCCTTAAAATGTGCTTGAGCTCAGCGTCGCCTGTTCATTATGTTTTCCTCTCACGTTCATCAAGTTCCGATATGTTACAGCCCACAAAGGGTGGGGAGGAGAGTTACCGTCACATAATACATGAGGAAGTTGCTCAAGTGTAGGTGGTTACCCTAGTTTTCTTTGTCAATAACGCTTTACTTTCACTTTACGCTCCGTGCTGATGATCGTGTGTCAATATTTATTCTCATCAACACATTGGACACAGTGAAAACTACAATAAATACCCACAGAATATCTCTCAGCTTTACATAAATACCTTTAAACAAATGCACAATTCAAAACAATATATTTACAGTGTTCGCCTGCACATCACCAGTAGTTAAGTAACGTTTCTTAAAGTTTGGCATCTTTTTTTTTACACTTTTGCTGTGTTTTTCTCTTTCGCGGATAATATTTCTTACTCTGTTAACTTCAGGCATAAAGTAAACGGTCACATGACTCAAATAAAATATAAATATGTTTACAAATAAAATATAAAATGAATAACAGTGGTGTTCTGACACATCTTAATATTTGAACAAAAAAATAATGATTTTCGGACTTATTACCATGATAAGAAATATACTGACATTATTAAGTATCGTAGTAAAGTACAGTGAGAGGCATATTGTGATAATATCGTACCGTGAGATTTGGACATCGTTACATCCCTAGAAATTATAAATCTATGCTAAGTTCGAAGCCAAAGTTTATTTATTTTACTTTTTTTTCCCCACAAATTGAGACCTTTTATTATAGTTTACAACAGAGGTGGAACTAAGTCGTTGTTTTGCAAGTCTCAAGTAAGTCTCAAGTCTTTGACCTCAAGTCCGAGTCAAGTCCCAAGTCAAGTACAGGCAAGTCCAAGTCGAGTCTCGAGTCACTGGCCCATAAGTCCTAAGTCAGGTCCAAGTCGTCTGCTTTGAGCTTCAAGTCATTTCGAGTCTTTAAACCAGTTTAGATTTTTGCAATTTATATGACTTTTAAGATAAATTGTACTTAAAAACTCATAGTATATTTATATATGAGTATTTATATGAGTTGTACAAATTAATTTAGTTAATTTTTCCTTTTTAAATGTTTTGACAAGATCTTAGTGTGAATCATTACGGTCAGAATGGGAAGAATTCAGATTTAAAAGCGCTTCTCAATCTTCTCAAATCCCAAGTCGAGTCCCAAGTTTTAGTCCATTTTATCAAGTCAAGTCTTAAGTCGTAAAAATACTGACTCAAGTCTGACTCGAGTCCAAGTCACGACTTGCCAGTCCCCACCTCTGGTACATACTTCCATAGGGAATACATGCAGTCAAACTGAAGCTGTACTGCGACTAAACAGCTCGAGTATTTTCATTTGTAACAGCAGACCTGAGCTGCAGAGTTCAGTTTGCAGTTGCAGTAAAACCTACTTGCAATGTAAACTATAACAAAAGGTCTCAATTTGTGGAAAAGTTGTGACTTGGACACGAGTCAGACTTGAGTCACTATTTTTAGGACTTGAGACTTGAATTGATAAAATGGACTAAGACGTGGGACTTGACTTGGACTTGAAGGTCAGTGCCTTTGGACTTGACTCGGACTTGAGGCTTGTGACTTGAGAAGACTTGAGAAGCACTTTAAAATCTGAATTCTTTCTGTTCTGACCGTAATGATTCACTCTAAGATCTTGTCAAGACATTTAAAAAGGAAACATTTGCATTTCTACAACTCTTACATACTCTATAAATACTCATATATAAATATACTATGACTTTTTGAAGTACAATTTATCTTAAAATTCAAATAAATTTCAGTAAGTCTAAACTATATTTGGTACTTTGTTTTAAAGACTTGAAATGACTTGAAGCTCAAAGCAGACGACTTGGACTTGACTTGGACTTACAGGCCAGTGACTCGAGACTCGACTTGGACTTGCCTGTATTTGACTTGGGACTTGACTCGGACTTGAGGTCAAAGACTTGAGACTTACTTGAGAGTTGCAAAACAACGACTTGGTCCCACTTCTGTTGTAAACTATAATAAAAGGTCTCAATTTGTGGCTTCGATTGTAGCATAGATTTATTATTACTAGGGATGTAACGATATCCAAATCTCACGGTACGATATTATCACGATATGCCTCTCACGGTACGATAATTATTGCGATATTTTAGAGGGATTAATAGAATTGTACATACAGTGTTTTTTCCTTTTTAATAAATAAGATTTAAAGTGCTTAATAACAGTTATTTTATTATGTAGTAAAGTAAATAAAGAATCATGGCCTATGCACTTCCCTCTTTTTTAATACTTTTATGTGAAAAACCTTGTAATTCGATATATTATGATGGACCACGATATTATTGTGAGAGTTCTTGCGATACGATATTCATAAGTATTACTCAACTGAATTTGCTTTTAAATGTGTCATATCTGTTCTATTGTCAAATGTTAGTCTTAAAGCTGCACTGCGTTACATTTCTAGTGCGGGGTCTGCCAGCTGTTTGTCTCCATGGAAACGTTATCGCATTGTCTAGAATGTTCCGCAGTATAGATTCATCACGAGGGAGACAAGCAGGTCAGATCTGTGGAAAGTCGCCTCTATTCACAGGAGGAATTATTGTATTTTTGAGCAATAGAAACACCTGTAATGAAGAAATGTTAGATGGATATGTTTAAAGGCATACTGTGGAACATTCCAGGGAAAGCAGTAACATCTCCATGGAGACCCTCTGCCTGAAAAGCTGCGTAATGCACCTTTAAACTAAGCCTGGGATTAAGGTTTCTTTCCACATTTTGATACATTTTCCTTTCCAAATTATATAATATTTTGATATAAATGCTTAATTGCGACGCCAGCGGTTTTAATTTTTCATCCTTTTAAAACCCATTGGTGCAGTTACTTAAAGTTTTATTTATGAGGAGTCGGCCTTTTTGAAGTAAACTGTTCAAATAATAAGTTAAGAAAGTGTTTATTTGTCCTTCAACTAGGTATTTTCAGTTCACAACACAAATGTCCGAGAGTAAAAAGTAAAGAAATGTCAGTTTAATCTTTTTCTATATTACTCTGTTTTCTGATCTATGTTATAATGTTGTTTCTTCATCACAAACAGACCTTGAGTCGTGTTTTTTTTTTTTTTTTTTTACACATGTTTAACACACTTAGATTTTTTCTCCGTGACAGAAAACACTCAGTTCCACCTTTTTATTTTAATAAAGGAAGTGCTCCACTGTGTTTTTAAACTCCATACACCTTCATAAAAATCATTTGGATGATTTCAGACATGGAATTGCCCACAAAAGGTAAAAGGAGCAGTCTGAGTTTTGGAGATGTAAACAGATTAATAATAAAGTGTCACTCAAACATGTGTGAATGAAAAAAAAGCAACTCTAGGTTTGTTTGTGAGGAGGAAACAACATTATAACACGACTTAAAGCTCACAAGAGTCAATTTTGTTTAATATAGGACCTTTACGCTATAGCAGAGCACTTCCTTTTGTCCTTGACTTTTTCTATGTTGTCTGTCCATCTCAAGAGCAATTGGACTCTAATGTAAAAAGTTGGGAGCAGTGCATTATATGAAAAAACCTTTTAGTAACAACACTTAAACCCCCATGTCTCATCTTATAGGAGCTGTATATTCTGTCCGATATGGCATTGCTTTGTCTGGAATGTTTCACAGTGTGGCATTAAACGTTTTTATCTTCATGGAGACCAAACCGGACCAAGTTACAGGTCAGATCTGTGGAGAGGCGACCCCGCTCACAGTCAAAATGTTGTTTTTCTAGGTATTTTTGAGCTATAAATCCACCTGCAGTTGAATAGACGTAAAAGTGGAGCTGTTTAATGTCACACTGTGGAACATTCCAGACAAGCTGTCGATGATCTAAACTGGAAAGAGCGTGATGGTGAATGAACCAGACGTAGTGTTGGTGGATAAGCAACAGAGCAGAGCAAGGTGGTAATATCAGAAAAGGAACATGAGAAACTAGAAAATACCAGGGGCTCAAGGAGGAGCTGGAGAGAGCCTGGACAGTGAAGGCATCAGTGGTGCCCGCGGTGATCGGACACTCGGGGCCGTAACCCCCAAACTGGAAGAGTGGGTACAGCAGATACCGGGGAAAACAACGGACATCTCGGTCCAGAATTGTGTAGTACTGGGAACAGCAAAGATACTGCGCAGTACTCTAAAGATCCCAGGCCTGTGGTAGAAGACCCGAGCTGGAACCACCGTGGAAAGTGAGAAACAAACTGAATTTTTTATTTATTTTTTTAATGCAGAGCGATAATGTAAACCCAAATAAATCAATTATTTTAAGCTGATGAACTTAAAAGTCACAGTCTTCCAGAACTTAAAAGGTTGGATGGCTTGCTACTTGTACTTTTTGATAACAGCTGAATTCAAAGTGCTCATTCAATACTCAAATACTCAATATTTATAGTTCGAGTTTTCAAACCACTGGGATAATTTAATTCAATTTCAGTTTTATATGTAATCCATGATTTTTGTACACACATTGAACATACAATCAAGTACATCTACACACATCATAGTACACACACATTATACACACCATACCACGTGAAAGTCAGAGGATTTACTAGTCTAATCAATATTATATAATATGTCTATAGATTAATAATACATACATACTTACATACATTACACATTGTCGTATACACCTAGTACATTATACACACATTAGATATTATTTTTAACTACTTAATTCTACTAAGTTGTGCCTCATCTATGTTTTTAAGTTACTCTCACTTAAACCCACATTAGTTCCCTTTCATTAAAAAAAAAGTTTTAAAAAATTACTCAAAAAGAAGAATCTATTTATGACTTTGAATGTTCAGGTTTACAGTGTGAGGTGGAGGCTTTAATATAAATCCTTTGGGGTTTTTTGCCTCTTTCTTTATTGTTATGTCATACGTGCCAAATAAATAAAAAGAAAATTGAAAAAAGAAGTGACATATCCATGGAAACGAGCACAGAAATCAGAAAGTTACACATTGCGCCTTTAATCTAACTTTTATTAGACCCGAGTGGAGCCATAAAAAGCGGCGGCGTGG